CACTTGCTTAATATCCATCGTGTCCTCATACAGTCATACTATCGCCACTAGTGAACGCGTCATTTGTCCTTTCGGTGCATTTAGAAGTCTCAGTAACTCGTTCACTCGTTCGCTCGTTCACGTGCTGGCGTTGCGCAATCACCCATCGTATCAGCCGTATCCAAAACCCCCCGGACGAAACGAGCCGCACGCGTCATACCGATTCGGGTGCAATATCCACCCAGCCGAGAAGCTTAGATCGCGCATTTCACCCCATTCAGCATAGTGTAATCCGGCTCGGACAACGGCTTGGCCTTGCACTACAAGGATCTCTAATCTTCTAGGCCCGTGAGTGGCGCGGTGGAGGATTCTCAAAGGAATTGCGCAGGACAATTGTCCCTTTCCTTTGCGACACCTCCTTAGGACTTCTTGGAGGTACTACCACTGCTGCACGCCAAGTATCAGCAACGACAAGACACGCTCATCGCCTTGAGCAATGGACAACGAGGACTCAGCAACGTCGACGGGGACAGCCATCTCCGCGGCTATTGACGAGAAGCATGAGTTGCATGCGGAAAAGGAGGCCAGGCCGCCCACGGCTGGTCTCAGTGATCAAGAGAAGGACATTATCGACAAACAGCTAACAGCACCTAACCTCACAGTTGGATATTTCTCACTGTTTCGATATGCCACTGCGAAGGACAAGCTCATCATGGTCGTGGCGTTGATCGCCAGTATTGCGGCTGGAGCTGTTATGCCCCTCATGACTGTAAGTAGATACTCGACGATCTGAATATACCACAATTAACTTTGATATCTAGCTTGTGTACGGTAATTTCGCTGGTAGCTTTACCAGCTTTTCAGTCGACGCTGTCGCTGCTGCCAAGTTCCAGCATCAGATCAACACGTATACTCTGTATTTTGTATACCTTGGAATTGGGTCGTTTACCACTTCGTATATCAGTATCTTGGGATTCTCCTATACTGGAGAACGCATCACACGGGCGATTCGAGAGCTTTACCTACGTGCTATTTTCAGACAGAACATCGCCTTCTTCGACTTTCTTGGATCCGGCGAAATCACCACTCGCATTAGCTCCGACATGAACTTGGTGCAAGACGGCATCGGTCAGAAGATCGGTCTCTTCGTGACCGGAGTGTCCATGTTCGTGACTGCCATCATCATCGGTTTTATACGATCGTGGAAGCTTTCCCTCATTATGTTGGCGGCAACAGTAGCACTTATTATGATGATGGGTGTCAATGGCACCTTGATGAAAAAAGCTCAGACACTTTCCATCGACGAATATGCCACAGCAGCCTCCCTTGCTGAGGAAGTCTTATCTTCAGCTCGCAACGTTGCTGCATACGGCACTCAGAAGCGACTCGAGGAGAAGTACAAAGCCTTTGTGGACCGCGCGACTGTACATGACTTCAAGGCCAAGTTTTGGCTATCCATGATGATCGCTGGTATGATGGGTGTGCTGAACCTCCAGTACGGTCTTGCATTCTGGCAAGGAAAAAGATTCCTTGACGACGGGGAACTTGGCGTTTCCAACATCCTTACCGTTGTCATGGCACTCATGATTGCTGGCTTTTCCATCGGACAGAACCTACCGCATCTCCAGGCTTTCGGTGGAGCTACTGCAGCCGCTACCAAGGTTTTCAACACGATCGAACGAATTTCCCCCATCGACCCGGAAACAGATGAAGGCATTGTGCCAGAAGACTTTGTTGGTAACCTTGAGTTCAGGAATTTGAAGCATGTCTACCCATCTCGACCAGACACTACAGTGCTATCGGACTTCAACCTGGACGTACCATCGGGCAAGATGATCGCGCTTGTCGGTGCATCTGGATCTGGAAAGTCGACCATTGTTGGACTGTTGGAGCGCTTCTACCTCCCGATGGAGGGTCAAATTTTCCTGGACGGCAGAGATATCACAACCTTGAACCTGCGCTGGTTAAGACAACATATGGCCATTGTGAGCCAGGAACCCGTCTTGTTCAGTACCACAATCTATGAAAGCATTTTGCATGGTTTGGTCAACACAGAGTATGCAGATGTATCGGATGACAAGAAGATGGAGCTCATCGAAAAGGCTGCCAAAATCGCTAATGCCCACGACTTCATCATGGACCTCCCAGAAAAGTACCAGACCAAGGTTGGAGAGCGAGGTGGCTTGCTCTCAGGTGGACAAAAGCAGCGTGTTGCAATCGCTCGTGCGATCGTATCGGATCCCAAGATCCTTCTCCTTGATGAAGCTACTGCAGCCCTCGATACCAAATCCGAGAGCGCAGTCCAGGAGGCTCTTGACCGCGCATCGCAAGGACGTACTACCATCGTTATCGCCCACCGACTCTCGACCATCAAAAGCGCCGACAACATCGTGGTTATGGCCTTGGGCCGAATTGTCGAGCAAGGCACTCACCAAGAGCTTATCGACCGCAAAGCTGTATACGCAAGTTTAGTACAGGCCCAAGAGCTTACCTCTAAGATCAGCCCTGCCAACAGGATGACGCTTCTGGACGACCCTGACCGCAAAACGGAAGGCACTGCCAACGAAGAGAAGCTTGCTTTGTTGCGAACCACTACATCCGCCCCTACAGAGTACCAGGCGAACAAGAATGAGAAAGAGAAGGAATACGGTACTTGGGAGTTGATCAAGTTTGCATGGGAAATGAACAGGGGCGAGCACACTACCATGACTATTGGACTGGTGTTCAGTTTCCTCGCTGGCTGCAACCCTGCCATCCAAGCCATCTTCCTGGGTAACTCCATCAACTCGCTTCTATCTCCTGGAACGTCTCTCGGCGGACTCAACGTAAATTTCTGGTGTGGCATGTTTCTCATGCTCGGAATCGTCATTGGCTCTTTCTACTACGTACAGGGTATGACTCTGTCAAGAGGATCGGCCAGGCTTGTTGGTAGCGTGCGAACGCGCGCTTTTGGAGCTATGCTTCGTCAGGACATGGAGTTCTTTGACGGAGACACCGTAACTTCTGGCGCGCTCAGCAACTTCCTTTCATCAGAGGCTAATCGTCTTGCTGGTCTCAGTGGCTCTACTCTCGGAACGATTGTCAGCGCTGCTTCCTCCATTTTTGTCGCCATTATCGTCGCATGCTCCTTTGGTTGGAAGCTTGCGCTCGTGTGCTCTGCGACCATCCCACTCGTTATTGGCTGTGGTTACTTCCGCTTTTACGCCCTTACCCGCATGGAAAAACGAACTAAAGAGACGTCTGATGCGGCCAGCTTTGCTTGTGAAGCAGCCTCATCCATCCGTACTGTGGCCTCACTCTCATTGGAGAAATACCTTTTGGGTACTTACCACGTCAAACTTGCGGACCAGGGCAAGGGCTACTTCAAGTTCACAAATGTGTCAGCGGTGCTCTATGCAACATCTCAGGGTCTCAGCATGTTCATCTTCGCCCTTGTCTTCTGGTACGGAGGACGTCTATTGTTCAACCAGGAGTACACTGTCTTGCAGTTCTTCATAGTCTACTCGTCCATCATCAACGGTGCTCAGTCAGCTGGTGCAATCTTCTCTTTTGCCCCCGACATGGGCGAAGCTAGGGACGCGGCCAAGCTCTTGAAGTCGTTCCTGAACCGCGTTCCAAAGATTGACCACTGGTCGCCTGAGGGCATCAAGATTGAGAGGTTAAGCGGCAAGGTCGAGCTACAGGACGTACGTTTCACGTACCCAGGCAGACCTGACCATCGTGTCCTGCGCGGTGTCAGTCTGGCAGCCAAACCAGGTCAGTTCATTGCACTTGTCGGTGCCTCTGGCAGTGGAAAGTCAACGGTCATGCAGTTACTTGAAAGGTTCTACGACCCAACAAGTGGTGGCGTGCTCGTCGACGATGTGGATCTGAAAGACTACAACCTCCAAGACTACCGATCGCAATTGGCAATCGTCAGTCAAGAAACAACTCTCTACACTGGTACGATTCGCGAAAACATCCTTGCCGACAAGGAAGACTTGGGCGATGAGGCGGTGATACAAGCGTGCAAAGATGCCAATATCTACGACTTCATTACATCGTTGCCGGATGGTTTCAACACGCTAGTGGGTGCAAAGGGTGCTCTCCTATCTGGTGGCCAGGTACGTTCCTCTGCTCTCTCTTCCTCTCAAACTTCACTAACATAAGTTTCAGCGCCAACGTATAGCGATTGCCCGCGCCCTCCTCCGTGACCCCAAGGTCTTGCTTCTCGACGAAGCCACATCAGCACTCGACTCCACATCCGAACGCGTTGTACAAGCTGCCCTTGACTCCGCAGCACAAGGGCGCACCACCATCGCGATTGCGCATCGTCTGAGTACGATTCAACACGCTGACGTGATATACGTCTTTGATCAAGGCAAGATCGTAGAGAAGGGCAGACATGACGAACTGGTGGCCAAGAAGGGAGTTTACTTCGAGCTGGCGAAGTTGCAGGCCATTGGAGCGCCGCAATAATTCACAAAAGCGGGAGCTTTTCTGCATGAATGGCGTTTGGGTATATATTTGTAATCATTTTTCTTAGATCATTAGGCTGGGAACTACATAGATCTCTGGCATATAAAATGCCTGTCTCTCTGCCTATGGTAGAGAATGCTCACTAGCTAATGTTTTCACATCTTCGCTTTCGTACTGGTGGATGTATTCGTGGGGTAAGTACCCCATCTGACACGTGAACGCGGGCGTCGCGATCTTCAGTTTGGAACGCGACTTCCGATAGCAAGCCATCATCCCATCCATCTGAAATGCAATATTTGTCTTGCGCCGCTGTCACCAAACCGAAGATGCAGTGTGAGCTATGTTGAGATGCATAACTTTGCCAAGCATGGCTCGAACCAAGCCATTCCTTGAGGCGCCCACGCCGCATCGCCTCGACCGCGGCCAGCGAGTCACGATGAATCATCGTTCATCTTGACACAGCGCACCTTTCGCTGGGGGGCGCTTGTATCGTATCCTCTTCGCAACACACGTCGATATATTGTGACTCCGTAAAGGCCGTCCCATAGCGCCAGACCACGAGAATGCGCAACCCCAATGGCTGTCGCGTATTGCTCCTCCTCCTTCCACCCGGTCTCCTCCTTGCCATCGCCGCCCTAACCAATATCCTCGAGAGCATATCCAAGGACAATTTCGAAGACTACCTTGCTCGCGATTGGCGTAGCGGTGGTCGCCAACTCGTCTTATCACGCCCAGGCGGCACCGCCTCGAACGACACCACCGTGACCATAGACATCAACAACGTGCCCGTATACGTCGTATTGGGGTTATGCATACTAGGCTATGGAGTTGGTCTGCTCAGCGCGGCTGGAATATGGCAGTTGAGGAGAACAGAGGGCACCGCGGCACATGAGAGGAAGTGGACTTGGGTTGTCTTCGTGGTCAATATCGTCATGGTGGGCGCGAGCCTGGGTGGCTTTGGTTATGCGACCTCAGTCCAAAGCAGCGAGAAGAGCTGGCAGAATTATGAAGACGTTGGACAAGAGGACCAGGAGCATACGAGAGAGACGTGGGCATGCCAGATCAGTAAATTCTATCCTGATAGGAATTGGGCTGGTACTGCTTGCGGGACTACGAAAGCGATGAGGTTCTTGCTGATACCCATGGCTGTTGCTGCGCTATCGATCTTTCTCAGTCTGTGGGTTCTCGTACGTGCGAGAGGAGGAGTGAAGTGGATGTTTGGTGGAAAGGGGAGGTATGCTGGGTTTGCAAATGTTTATGAGATGCGACAACCTGATCCACCATCGCCTTATGCTGGTCCACCAGGCCAGCAATGGATTCAGCAGCCATGGCCGACACAGCATGGACAGCAATGGGTTGGACAGCCCGTACAACAGCAGTGGGCGCCGCAACCTTATCAGCCATGGGGCCCGCAGCAGCCTGTGCAGCAATGGGGTCCTCAGCCTGGGGCTCAACAGCCCGTTTCTCAAGTAACAAAGTCAGATGCTGCGGTAGAGCAACGTCCGGTTTTCGGATGAGGTTGCAAGAATGCGAATCTTAACTCTTACTGAAGCGTTGCATGGCTTCCCCCTTCACTTATGATCTAGAGCCGTTTCACCTTCACCTTGAACCCGCCAAGAAGAGCAAGAGCGCTTCCGTAGGTCACTATTGTTTAGAATTGCGACCGCTAAGAGACCTGTCTAATATACATCTCAGAACTTTTGACATCTTAACGCGACCGTCTAGGCCACAATTGTCATGTCGGCAGGCTCTTCTCACGGTACGGCGCCGTCAGCAGGCACTCCAAGGTCACTTGACATCCTTCGTAGGGACTTTGAAAAGCGATTTGGAAAGAGTGCCGATGGCGAGTATGCGAAGAAATTCAAGAACCAAAGTTATGCCACCAGCCTCGATGACTTCGACAGCAACAACGACGGTAAGCCTGCGCTACCATACGTAGTAGGCGCTACATTTGTCGCTCGCCGTCACGAACCACCTGCGCCTTTCGGTCATGGCTACGATACTCCTTGGCCGCCTTACAAGACAAACGATTTTCGACTACCGCAGATTGACTACTGTCTGATTCGGCAGCCACTCGAAGGTCGTACACTTGATGAGTCTCGCGTACTCACCATTACTGGCACAGTACGTACTGGTTATTCCTTTGGGGCTCAGATCGTTGTCGTCAATGGAAAAATAGTGGCGAAGATATACGACCCGCTATATGACGCTGGAGGTGATTGATATGACAACAAGCGCGACGTCGTTGTACTAGCTGACGGAGACTACTCACGGGAAGCTGCCGCGTACGAGCAACTGCGACGAAGCCCTGATACGTGGAGTCTGGTTCCGGCGTACTACGGGAGCTGGACAATTGAAATACCTACGGAAGCGGGCGATCAGACACTCACACGACATGTCCGCCTCATACTAACGGAGCATATCAAGGGAACCGTCATGAGTAGTGTCCAGCCTCAGTTGCTCTCTCGACAAACACGTTCGGCGATAATGGAGAAAATCTTAGAAGCTGAATCTCTCATCTTCAACGCTGGTGTCCTGCACCGCGACATGTCGCCCCGCAATATTATGTTCGTCTCTCCAGCATCAAACGTCTTGTTCGACGATCCACATCTCCGAGTCGTCATTATCGACTTTAACGTTTCTAATGTCATACGCCTTAGCAACACTTCCTGCCCTGTATCACTACAAAGAAAATGGCCAGGTAAACTCCTTGGTCCAGTAACGAGGTTTTGGAATGCGATGGAGGAGTTTGAAGCTCGAGACTGGGTGAACGATGAAGATGGGAAGGCGAACGAGTGGTTATGGGAATGCTTTGGGCAGAGGGAGGAGTATGTACCGCTTGTCAGAGACAGAGAAGAGAGTGAACTGTGTCCAAGGATTGCTTGGCGTAGTGAGCTTGAGGATGACGAGAACGACGAAGATGAAACTGTTACAGGTACGGTGAGGAGCTTGGATACATGGAGTGACGGAGATGGTGAGATCGTCTTCCGGGGCCGAGGCTGTAAAAGTTAGGTGAGCTTTTGATCACCACCTAGCACATACCACGGAATGTCCACTGGGCTGGCGCCCGGAAAACTGGAAGAAGTTCTCGAAACTGGGCCTTTGTCTCTCACATCGAGTTGTTGAAGGTCGAGCTGTTGGCGATGATCTAAAAACATTGACCGTCACAGCGGTGGTCCGCACCGGATACGACTAGGGAGCACAATTCATAGTCATAAACAATGACATGGTTACCAAGACATATGATCCGCTCTATAAGAACGAAGGGCATGAGTACGGCCTCAAAGACGTTGTGTTTGATGCATACTTTGACTACAGCCGCAAGGCTGCTGCCTGTCACATATTGCAAAAGGCGTCAGCGGCACGGCAAGCCACACCTGAATTATGTTGACGGTAACGATAAACCCCTATATGACGCGTAGACAATGCTCATATTATTTGATTACTCTTCTATTAGGTACTGTCTTGATGAGAAACATGTTGCTTCCCACAGATGGAATCTCTACACAGCCATCTTTTTCTTGTCCGCTTACGTCTATTCGCAGCCTGTTTGGTTGAACTTCGAAATTGACGTCGCGTCGGATCCGAAGGCCACAGCGCGATCAATCCAGGCATCAATGCTGGCAGGCGCTGGCTGTCGCTCCCTGCTCAGGATGTAAAGCGTGCTCCAGTTCTGCGTCTGTACAATCGCCCAGTCGATAGCGTAATCTGGACATCGACGTTAACATTGATGGACTCAATGTACGGCTCTGATGATTAACTTACCTTGTACAATGTAGTTCGGTCCGGGGCATTCTGGTGCCGAAGATGCGCCAGGGAAGCTGACGACAAAAGCTCCGCCGGCGCCATAAGCAGAGTCTACAGGCGTAGCGGTGCCGATAATGTCGACAGTTTGTGGTCCAGCAGTTGCGGTGTTCACAACACGCACTGTGCCATTGTCCTAGGTTCGCTGTCAGAAATGCTGGCTAAAAGTCAACATATCTCAAGAACGTACGTTGAGTGAGTAGTTTGCGGTTACGCAGCGTGCGCCTGCTGTTGGACCGAATGGTGTTCCCGCAACTTGGTACCAGGTTCCGAGATACGCTTCTAGATTGAACTTGGAGTCTGGGACAGGGTAGAAGCACGATCCGTCATATTGTGCTGCCGCGACATTTGGTGTAGGGGACGTCTCGTTGTAAGAGGCTTGACGGGGGTGGATGAAGCCTGAAGCGGCTGAGGATAGTGCGAGGACGGTACTGGCGACGCGCATCTTGAGTAACCTTGTGCAGTGTTGAGATTAGAGATTAGGGTATAGGTAGGATGGAGATGATGATATTCGCTGTGACGAGGACGTCCCTATGCTTTACTTGAACTGAAAATCCTGTGGCTGGTGTAGAAAAAGTTGTTTAGTAAACGTCACCCCCAAGCCACTACACAGTACTACGCACTTATCCACAGGCTAGACTTGTATACATGCGTACAATCGCCGGTAGCCTTCCCGGGCCGGCAGGAAAAGTCTTGTAAACTCATCGGTAAACATGTGCTGCCAAGCATGCGGACTCTGTCCCTCGGTCAAATTGTGGTTGCGGAGGAGCTCGGCTCTACTTCTCATTACGAGATATTGCGGATGTCTGCAACCGCAGCGACTGTTGGACAGTGAGGTTGGTGACGTGGGTATGCGGACTGGGGTAAGCGATGGAATGGCTGGTGATGACGTATGTGTCGACCTAGGGACTTGGCGATAGAGCCGCATCTGTCCCATATAGTTTGCACTATGACATGTCGTTACCGCGAATGGTTGTATCGGAGCCGTGGAAAGTTTCGACGGGTACCGTCGATCGAGTGACTTGTTGATGTCGAAAGAGTGTCATTCTGGGCAAAACAGGCACAGTCGGAACTTATACAACTACCTTATGGAACGCTCCTACTACGGTCTGAATTCTTTCACTTCACATAAAAGGGATGTCTCGAAAATGTTGAATTTTCCCTAGCGGCAATATTCACCTGGCCAGATCACTGTCCTTGGCTTGCAATGCCCGAATTATCGTTCGCACTGGCATGAATCTCAAACTCATCTCAGATCACAGACATGCGCTGTAGCATCAATTCACCACACCTATCTACCTGTCACACAGGTTCTTTCTGGTATCTGTAAAGCAAGAGAGGACTCTCAGATACCTATTGCGGGCTGCGGCCTGGCTCGCCTATTACCGCATGGCATGCTTCAAGTAGGAAGCCCAAAAACGCCAGACGCATCGAATCCCTTGGAACAGCCGTAACACGGAGCACATGAGGCTCGGAAAATGACCCGAAGTCCAAGAGCACAAGATGGTCGTAATCGCAAAGAGCAATATACCGGGAGTCCAGCACCTCTGCCTCTTCCACGTAGCGTCGGTCAATCACATTGCCTTGGACGATACTGGCCAGTTTGTGCGGACTCAACCATTTAATCATCATGACCATTTTCGGCGCGTGCGTCCTTGTGAAACTTTCGTAGTATAGTGTTACCAGCCTGTCGCCTAGGTAGCCGTTGCGTTGCGTGAGTTCGGTAGGGTATCTTATTACGATAGCATAGTCTAGGGGACACTTGAGCCATATCCGAGCGGCGTTGAAGACATCGTCGGCTGTTTTGAGAGGTTTGAAAGGGGCTTCATCAGACTTCGGCGGGGTTGGTAATTTAGGATCTTGGTGGATGGGGGAATTGGGGTCTGTATATTCGGCTTCGAGAAAGCTGGTGGCGGTATTAACGTAATTTACCGGCGCATCGGTCGGTGGATTATGGAATATACTATGAGCTCTCCTTGGATCACGGCGCGGGTTGTCGAACCCTATCAGCTCTTTGTTCTCGTGGTCAAGTGGGGACCGGTAGTCATGCGCCATGGGATTCGAGGGAGTGCTTTGTCAATGAGATGTCGTACTCTGATATTGGAATAGTTTTTAGTTGATGTGAAGTAATGAACTTCCTGATCAGGTCGAGTTGCAGTGGAATGTTGATCAATAGCGCAAGTGTATGTACATGCAATCACTAGCAGTGTGGGTGAGAGTGTAACGGGTACCAAGCGCTAGCTACTATATCAATGAGAAGCACTTAACAGAGAACCTTCAAACGTACTGATATGCTCGGATCAGTAAAACTTGGTCAGACCGATCGTCGTTGCGCGCTGCTGGAATTTGAGATAAGTGGAGAAAGACACGGCACATCATCTATACGGCTCGATGGCTTGTGAGGTCAAGCGTAATAATCATGTTGTGAGAAGTGATGGAACTGCTACAGATAACGCCTACGCGCACAGCGCTTGACCCATAGCGCCTGTTGTGGCCATGAAACCCACAAATACCCTAAAAATAAAACAAGAAGACAAGAAGACAGAATGGAGTAGCAGACCTAAGCTTCCCTGGTCACGATGGTGACCTTGAACTCCGTGTCAGCCAACGAGCTGTCACCGCCGACCTTAGCACTGCCGATACCAGAACCCACGCCGTTATGGCAGCCTTCTGATCCCGACTTCTCAAGCATGCGGGCGAAGTAGCCGTAGCAGTCTTCGACCTTCCAGAAAACGCCAGCAGAGTTGTCAGGCTGGGTAGCTGGGGTGACATCGACTAAAGATTCAATTAGTACTGTAAATACATGACTTGAGGGATAGAGCCTTACACTTGATATCCCACCCGCTAATGCTGTTTCCATCTTTGTCAACTACATTGGCGTGTTGTGTGTTGCTCTTGGGGCCGTCAAGCGGGTAATCGACAGTTGCGGTGCAGACTGTACCCTCAGCGACGCGGTCTTGATAAGCGCAAGGAGGCATCATAGCAGCGCAGGCGTTATCGAGCACGGTATCGAGCTGAGGCCCACGCACGAAGCTGATCGACTTGTCGGATGTGGCGCATGTTGTGGTTGTGTCTGACGCGGGTTGCCAGCTATCATTCCCGCCGGTCTGAGGAGACTGTCGTTGAACGAGTGGTGCCGCAAATGCCGTGGCTAGGAATGTGCTGAAGAGAATGCTGGTGTACATCTTGATTGTTATTCCGGAGTTCAAGGCAACGTGTTGTAGGAAACTGCCACAGTTGGATCTACACCAGTAATCGTATGGTCTGCAAGTCGAGTGGCGAGTGGAGTTGGAGCAGGACTTTGGTATATCAGTGAAGGCGTATCCAAATAGTAGGTCTTCACGAATCAATGCGCCAAGCCAGTGATGTGTTGGAATTTGTGAATAATAGCTCGTTCAAGTACATCCATGAGGGCGATCGATGTTCTATATTACCTTGTGCTATGTCTTGCGCTAAGAGATAGAGTTGTTAGTGATTACCGTGGGGTCGGGAGCATGACGGTGCAAAGTGTGGAGATACGAAATGAGGCATCCCCTGGTGGATGACGGATTGTTACAGATATCTCTTTGTTTCTGGTCGGACTTTACTTTGTGCCTTTCTTTTGTGGGCTTGACAGGGGAATGGCCTTGAACCATGTCTACCTCGGGAACAAGAAACAAGGACGTATAAACAGACCTTGAATCTGTTGAAACAACAGTAGAGTTGTGTGCATAGCTGCAGTCCCTTCCAATCAGTTGTGGGGACGTTTGTGAGTTGAAATGGCCGGAGCGTGGGGTAATCTCTCTTCATCAAACGATCGGCAGATCTACCGTCCGTGCCAAAAAGCATACCCATCTTGCTAAGGATATATCATTCTCAATAGTTCTCAACTGGACCCCTAGTTGAGACGCGACGGTTCTTGCGCTCACCACGAACAGCATTTGACTTCCAAAGGCGGCTGCGGAGATGGCGCGTTGGGAAAACAATCACTGTCACCAACGTCATAGTGTACGGAGATCGGCAAAAAGTCGGGGAGATGCTTGTTCGGTGGTATTGATGAAACAATGAGGTGCTAGGCTCTCACGAAGTTCCTCGAGAGTTCCGACCGAGGAAGCGATGTCATATGCCAAGGCTTTAGTCCGCCCTTCATTTCCCTTGTCATGTGAATCGTCCAGACTCCCAAACACCATGACACTCAGCGCAAACAATGCTACTTCCCCTAACTTCATTTCAGATGCTGCGGGTTCTGATCAGTGGTTGTAAGTCACAGCTCCTGCCCGTGGTGCAAGCTCGAAAGGATACCACGGAGAGAGAGATCTGCACTTAATATCCGGCGAATGAGAAGGCCTATGCAACAGCTTAACAACAGCTCGCGAAGCCACTAGGATGCACAGAACTCTCGTACCTAGGACACGGTTCCTCTACAGAGCTCGTTCCATCTACAGTATTACAAACAAAATGAATACGCATTGAACGTTGGGTAATCACAACATCCACTTCGACCCACAAATACATCAGCATCGCTATCTCTTCTTTTCGTGCGCACATAGCTCACGCTCTTGCTGACATACAGAACCTGTAGCATCAAAGATTGAAGCTGTGATGTTATGATTCGTTGGCGTACTCTAGCCGTAAGCAGGATACTGCTTACAACAGCCGGCAGGAGGATTGCTAGCTGATTGGAGCGACATACGTTTAGGCGTACAGCGTTCAGCTTCGTTCGCTCATGAGGAGACGCCATAAGCAACGCCTATCATACATCTGCCTGAAAGGCTTTACTATACCTAGGCTTCAATAAGTGTGGGCTGTTACTCTGCATCTCTCCTCGACACTCCTTAAACTTATCATTTGTCGCAAATCTTCAAAATGGATAACAGAGCTGATTCCAGCCTTTGGGCTGACACGCCCTTCGCCCTTCTCAAGATTCCTGGTCAGCCGGGTGGTCCAGTGTGCGTGAATCCTGGTGTTCTCGACGTCGCTATAGAGATGGCAAACGTCCACAACGTCCTACTTCGCCCGCTGAATGCCATTTATCATCAAGCGCCCTTCATTAGCCTCCCTGTAGATGTTGCCGATTTCATGCTGTACGTTACAGCATGGGCAGATACGCTACACCACCATCATTCCCTTGAAGAAAGTTTGTTTTTTCCAATGGTGGAGAAGATAGCAAAAGAAGCGGGGATCGATGATTGTGAAGGTATCATGGGAGGGAACGTGGATCAACATCATGAGTTCGAGCCCAAGATAGCAGAGCTGGTCAAGTGGGCTGAAGAGGTTGTGGCTGGGAAGAAGACATATGACGCTGTGGAACTGAAAAGGCAGATCGATGACTTCGCACCTATCCTGACACAGCATTTACATGATGAGATCGGTACCTTGGTCAAATTGGAAAACTGCGATGGAGAGAAGATTAAGCAGGCGATGAAAGAAACGGCTGATGAGGGAGCAAAGACAGCCGATCCGGTACGTACTCTGGACTTCTCAGTGATTTCGCTGTTGTAAAGTAGCGCTGACACTCTATGAATCCAGAACCTTGTCATTCCCTTGGTGCTCGGAAGTATCGATAGAGGCTATCCAGGCAGCGAGAACTTCCCGCCCTTACCATTCTTCGTTCCATATCTCAACGCGTATTGGTTTACGCGAAAGCACAAAGGCTCTTGGCGATTCAACCCAAGTGACCACTGGGGTAATCCGAGGCCGCTGCACTTTCTCCAGTAGGTTGGAGTGTTCGAACATATTCTCGTCTAAGCTTGTATGCGGAGTACGTCCTCACAGCCTTACCGTAAGCAAACAAAAATCTGTGTCGTCTTGTCCCATGGAACTCATCTCTTCTCCAGTTCCTTGGAAGCGTGGTGAACAGCGACACAGAACATCCGAATGATATTAGGAAGTTGCACAAAGATTGTGAAGCTAGAGCGAGGAAGGAGATTGGCCATGTGGTTGGAGGAAGCTGAGAAGTATCGTGCAAACGCAAAGCGAAAGGTATCTAGCTAGTGAAAAAATCCCGAGGTAGACAAATATGTGGCGCTGAAATCAGTTCAGCCTGCTGATTTTGTTCACTTCCGCCTCTTTACTTGCCTAGACTCTTTCGAATTACCTCCTAGTGCTGTTTAGATCGCCCGCTCTTTTGCATCCAAACTATTCTAATCCAACAATACCTGTCTCAACTACTCGCATTTACAGCAAGTAATCATGCATGACAACTTTGCACCTCCTACCGGCCTCCTCGAGCTTCCTGGAGGTAAGTTCGTCGCAAATTGAGAGCCTAGAACGTTTCTAATACATATCACTAGAACTTCGCAACCGTATCTACGACTTCGCGCAAGAGTCAGGTCAAGTCCGTGTTGTGTACAAGCAGAGTCTTCACCTCGAGCAAGTCGAACAAACTAGTCGACAATTCTGTGGTCTGACCCAAGTCTGTCGCAAGCTCCGAGTGGAGTATCTACCTGTCTACAATGCGCAAACCATTGTCAGCATTGATTGGTTGCACACTGCCTCCTACATCGACACATTCATTCTTCCAGCTGGCGTGGAGCCGGAACAAGCACGCGGGAACCTCATCGCCCTCAGCAAGAAAGCTCCTCAAGTCACGATCAAATTTGACGAATCCGCTTGGTTCGTCCCATTATTGTGCACACTAAGGCGCAGATATAGGACACTTTTATAGAGCAGCCCGTAGAGCATTTGGAATGTCAATTTCTGGATGGATCATGTCCCTGGATCGTCTTGAGAATCAATAGAGGACTTGCACAGCTATGGATGCATAGAGAGCCATTTGCCAAATATACCCGTACGTTTCGTGAGTACGGTGAAGGCCTCAAAGACTAGTCAAAAGAGATAGGAATATGGGATATAGTCTAAGGATTATGCATAGGCTTTGATTTTGATACTAAGTGGAAAGCATATCAGTTGGATCCATGGCTTTATGAAGAAAAAAGAAGACTGCGTGATGCAAGCAGATGCTGCAGTTCAAGACGACAGTTTTAACAAAAGTGATGGGTTGTGTTATTATGATTCGAAAACGTTAATTTTGAGGTCAAGCTTGTCAAGTAACCGCAATAGCGTAGTCGTTAGCTGCAAGGCTGTGTAGTGGAGTGAAGCTGCAAAAGCATAGCCTGATAACATCTCAACGAATCTCAATACGTATATGGCCGCCTCTCCTATTGCTGATTCATGACTGCAAGCCCAGACCACTTTGAACACATGATCAACCTCGTCACTTTATTCTCCTTCGTGTTTTTGTTCCACCAACTGCCCACCTGCAGTGAGAACGAAGTCACACATCACGCCGTAATGATCCGAAACCCAGTCCAACTCTCCAGCCTCTGTTATCATTTGTCTATGCTCTTCTGCTGCTTTGACGCCCATGCCAATCCTTTGAAACTTGATCGGATTTAGAGATCCGGTAAAAAAGATCTTGTCCATTCTACTGCATCCAAATCTGTCTCTCATGGCCTGTGGAACCTGGTAACCCCACGTGTACCCATTGTCACTATCCTCTTCACCAGGGCCGGCTCCTTCGCCGCCAATTAGAAGATAGGCATCGTTGAGATTATTGTCTTCATGCAGCGTACGATCAAAGGGCTGAATGGCGTTGAGATCACCAGCTAGAATTGCGCTTGAAACACTATCGTGATGAAGGTACTGTTTCGCGGCTGTCGTTTGAATGGGGCGGACTGGTGGGTCGGCAACCAGAGATTCCAGATGTGTGTTACATAGCCGCATGGTTTTCTGCGGGCCGTCGGGATGAGCCTGGTTGTGAAGGACGATGTCGACGAACAGGCCATCTCGATCGAATTTGCTATACCAGGGAACGCGGAAAACAGAATCTATATACAGTCGCCGATCTAAAAGGGTTATAGTCCCGTAATGAGGACTCAACCAGTTCCGTGAGTCGATATCTGTGAGGTTGAAGCGTTGCTTGACCCAGGCCGAATCTCGTATTTGTTCCATGTCCGATACTCCCATCTCTTGGAAGAATATGATGATTGCGGACTCCGGCTCCGTCGATGATACCACATCATACAAATGATCTAGCGCGGCACTCATCCGTTCCTCTGCAAATGGAACGAGGATGTCAATGTTCCAGGAGATCAGTCGGATCTTTGTAGGGTGTACAGGTGGTTGTGATTCATCTTTCGGAGGAGATTCACCAGATCCCGCTGCTACCCAGTCATCATCTGACGAGACGCAATAGTAACTCTGTTGTCTCGGCTCGTAGAAGGCGTCTTCACGTTTCTGTATCTTTGTAGAGAAAGCGGCAGCAAGAGCCTGCATGATGGGGTTGGGCTTGTTGGAAGACATGCTTCTAGGAACTATGGTAGGTAGTCAGAAAGCAAGAGAGGATGATCTGAGGCTGGGGACTGTAGGTCGCAAGCACACGATGTTGACAGAGAGTCGAAGACAGGCACTGCGAGACATGATGCTGATTGTAATCTTGATTAGTGCTGATGCGGGGCGTGAAGCACACGACTGAGGGCGAAGTGAGACCCGAGGTTTCGATTAGGAGTATGTAGTTGCTTGTATCAAAGCAAGCAATAGCCAGGACTGGATACCTTGTAGTGTAGCAGACTGATGAGCAGAAGCAAAAGCGTGTTGCTGCAGGTTGCAGGTGATGTACAAGCGCCGGCACGTGATGCGGTGAGGGCACCCCTGTCATCAATGCCGAAGCGCGTCGTGAACTTCGCGATTCAGAAGGAGCTCCAAACTGGGGAAGCAGCCACGACCACAGCTCTTCGCCCCGCCAAAACGACCGTCCCTCATCCACCGTCGGCCCAGTCGCCCTTTCCAGTCATCATCCCCCAAGCCCGTCGCTGCCCCAGCCCCCCGCCATGGGCTCCCGATTACACAATGCTCCCATTGTGATAGACAATGGCAGTGGTACGATCAGAGCTGGATTTGCAGGAGAGGATGTGCCGAAATGCTTTTTCCCGTCATACGTAGGACGGCCAAAGCATGTGCGGACAATGGCAGGCGCATTGGAGGGTGATGTATTCATAGGACCACAAGCACAACAATACAGGGGGCTTTTCAAAATCAACTACCCATTGGAGCACGGCATTGTTACAGACTGGGATGACATGGAGCGGATATGGCAGTACGTCTACACAGAAGGCCTCAGGACTGTCAGCGAAGATGTGAGTTGGACCATGGCGGACGGTGCCTTTTGCTGCTGTTGAGGGGCATGGAGCTAACCATTCATCCTTTCAGCATCCCGTACTCCTTACAGAGCCTCCTCTAAACCCCCGAGAGAATCGCGATACGGCTGCCCAGATCCTGTTCGAGACGTTTAATGTGCCCGCCTTGTACACATCAGTCCAAGCTGTCCTGTCACTATACGCTTCCGGCAAGACGACTGGTCTTGTTCTAGACTCGGGAGATGGTGTCTCGCACGCAGTACCCGTCTTCCAAGGTTTCGCCATACCTAACAGCATCAGGAGAATAGACGTGGCAGGCAGAGATGTTACAGAACACTTCCAACAACTACTGCGGAAAAGCGGTCGCGTCTTCCATACAAGTGCTGAGAAGGAGACAGTCAAGAACATCAAAGAGGCAACAGGATACGTGGCGCTCGACCCGGCCAAAGAAGAAAAGGACTGGTCAGGCTCGTCCAGATCCGAGGGTAAGAGCGTCGACTATACACTACCCGATGGCCAGAAGATAAAGGTAAGGTCAAGCCGATGAAGCATATCGAGTACTAGCTGACAGTGTAGATCGGAGCGGAACGCTTCCGAGCGCCCGAAATACTCTTCAACCCTGAGATCATCGGTCTGGAGTACCCTGGAGTGCACCAGATTGTTGTTGAGGCGATACACAGGACCGACATGGACCTCCGGAAAGCGCTATACGGCAACATTGTACTCTCTGGTGGTTCCACATTGACAAAGGGATTCGGAAACAGACTGCTCCACGAAGTGCAAAGACTGGCGGTGAAGGACATGAGAATCAAGATCTTAGCACCACCGGAGCGCATCTACACCACGTGGACCGGTGGCAGCATTCTTGCGGGCCTCAGCACTTTCAAGAAGGTGAGTTCCTTATTCCCAGCACGAGGCTTTGGACAGCAGACTGACACGTGCATGCAGATGTGGGTAGAGAAGGACGAATGGCAGGAAAACCCAGACATCATCCACACCAAATTTGCATAAGCACCGACACGTTGCGGTCTGGCAACAGCAATTAGTCCGAACCCGTTTGTTCCGCCTCCGCATCATCTTTCGAGAAGGAGCTACATAGGCGCATCGGTAGCGCTGTTGCAGTTAGTCATGGAAACGAGGTCCCAAGACCTGGGGTCAAGCCAACCATGAGCGAAGAAACCTGGGGGCTGCACGCTTGGTTGGAGGAAAGAAGATCTACGTGTCAGCCGGTAGCCGTAGCTTCTAGACGGGAGAGCTACCGTAGCATGTTCCTTTCCCCGCATTCGAGTGCGTTTCTGTTACTTAAGCGCGAGCATGGTTCGAGAGTGTCGGTTAGGTAAGGGGTACGAGGGGACGAGAACACGTGCATGACAGGCGTTTGTGAGCGCTTTGGAATACCCCTATGATTATGAAGCGTACAGAATACCACAATTAATCCACTTGCGACTGTGCACACGGAGCGCGAAACTGCCGTGTCAGTATCAGGAGGTTTGGGCGAATGAGTGTGCCAAGGATCGTGAGGTCTCGTCCAGTCTTGTCAGCCATGGTGTGACCACGGTCAAATCACCGATGCCTCACTCTGGCGCAATTCCACGCAATGTGCAACACATATTACACACAATGGCGAAATGACATGCACAAATGGCATTACCCCGGCCGCAGTCATCGCGTAAGCGCTGCAGGTACCTGATCACAGGGCCGGCCACGACAAGGGGCCACGTACATTTTCGTCACCGCAAGCACAGAGCCACCGCCGCCTAGACTTCACGATGCTCGACGTCATGCACGACGGGGCGTCCGGAGGCTCGGACAAGTGAGCTGATCGTGCGCGGTCACCAGGCAGAGCAAAATAGGGAGAGAGAGAGGCGGAAGTGGTTATTGCTTTTTTGGAAGACGCCACCAAACGCTCGAGGTTTACTGTGCCTTGCAGAAGAGTGAATGTTGGTGCATGCAGTGAGGTGTCAAAAACAGCAACACCAAGATCAAACAGGCAGTATCAGAATCTGCAACCGCTCCACGTCGGTTCTCCTCTATTCCAGGCACGCCCGATGGCAAGCGCAGAGCGTATGCGGCGTATGCATGACGCGAGCCAAACTTGAGACGCGCGAAAACAGCGAAAAAATCTCTTCCCGCCTCCACATTCTCCGCCGGGAAGCGTGTGCTGGCCATCGCGGAAGCTGGCACATGGGGCCCAGTTTGCGTATGGCGCCTTTGCGTCAAATTTTCAGCCCGTCACCTCAGCATGCTCAGTCACGCTTCGGCAAGCTGCGATGCGCTGCTGCGGTTGCTGCGGAGCCAAGGTCCGGCCTTTCGATAGCGTCATGGGCTCGATCGCTTCGCTCCTTGTCCTCCGCTGCACCTGACCATTTCCCCTGGCAATCTCTTACCCCCGAGAAACTAGATTCACCCAATCAGCGCATTTTGAGGGGGTAATGGTAAACTATTCATGGCGCTGAGAAATTTCCTACACTTGCGTTGTTAGGGGACGCATGATCCATTGACTGCCGTTAACTGCAAAGTGTCGCTCAGACTTCCAAGGCTTCTGAGCTGGCCTCGTGCGCGTTTGGTTCGTTTCGTGGCGCCGAAAAAAAGCTTGCGCGTGAGAGATTTTACTTGCCTTGCATTTGAGTAGTAAGAGGGGATCGTGATCAGTGCGAGGCTGCATGTTATATAAACCCTCTACCCCAGTATGTCTTGTTGTTGAGTACCATCGATCAACAACCACTACAGATCTTCCCGGAGCTACTTAACATCAACGCTACCCCAGACTCTACCAACGATAGTCGCCACTTGACTTTGCTCCCATTCCATAACACTACACACAACCTCATACCAGCAACCGCATACCAAACAATCAAAATGGTCAACTTCCACATCAGCGAGCCTCACCCATCCGCCGGTGCTTACATGTACTCTGGCCGCGGCGGCGCTGGCAATGCTATGCGCATCAAGGCCACCGAGGTCACTCCTGGTCCCACTGCTTCCGGCCCTGCCTCCCGCACCAAGTTGCCTCCCCCACCCAGCAACGCCTTCTACGCTACCGGTCGTGGCGGTGCTGGCAACATGAAGAAGTCTGAACGCGCCATCTTCAGCTTCGACGAGGAACTTCAACAGCAAGAACGCCTCCGCACCCAACAAGCACCTGTCTACCACATCGGTCGCGGCGGTGCCGGAAACCTTGTTGATGAGATGAAGCCCCGATCCCACCGCCAGAACTCCGCCTCTTCGACCACCAGCTCATCGAGCGTAGAGAGCGAGAAGGATGGCGTACGAAGGAGCATCGAAAACACCTGGCAGCGTCTGAGCAGGCAATTCTCTCACCAATAGAGAGAGCGCCGCTCAGTTCTTGCTTCCCGTCTTCACTTCTTCAATTCCTATTATCGGCATGAGAGCTGGTTCTGATTCTCTCATCATCATCATCTCCCATCAAAGCATTTCCATCAGCACGGCGTTCCAAGGAGATACTGCATCTCCAACTGTATCATACCACCAAAAGTTCCTTTTACGACATCTTCTCTTTCTTCCTTTTATAACGACATACCACACAACCATCGAGGAGCCAGGCGCCAACCTCCGGCCATCAACAAAAAGTTTATACCCGGAAATGATCGTCCTGCTCTTGCGAGAGAGGGCTTACTTAGGAGATATTATACCCCCAGGCCAGTGAAAGGCTGGTGAGGAACAGGACAGTTGTCCTGCCTCAGTCTATAGTTTAATTGACATTTCAAATGTTCATACTTGTGTGCTACTTTGCAAATTGTGACTCTTGAATGTAGATGCAATATTGTACAATCTTGATGCTACGTTGTGCTGTAAAATGCATATGAACAACAACAATCATCTTACAGTAGCAGATCTCTTTCTTCAGTCACCTCTCTCACATATCTTCTTCTTTGACAAGCACAACTTCTCCCCCTAGTTCTCATAATCCCCCACCGTTATGTTAAAAAAATAAAAAAGGCCAACGCTCACCACAACCACGCGTCTCCAGCTAGTCTTCCCCTAGCGACCCAGAAACGCAGACTAACCATCATCCAGATGCCAAGCAGCGTCGGTGCCCCCCGCTCGCGGAATAGTCGCCGTATGGCATATAGCCTATTCCAGCATCTACTTTTGTGGCGTGCAGATCTAGATCGCCCACCCCGCGACCAGACCTGCATGCGGGAGCGAAGATCAAAGTCTGCATGCAAGTAGGGCAAGGCCAAGAGGATCCTGTTCACCGGAAACTGGAAAAAAGTCCATGTGGAGAATTATGCAGACGGGATCCTGTGGGACGTGTAAACACTCACCGGAGGTATTTAGTGATCTAGCTCGTTCGCAAAACAGAGTGCACAGCAGGACGGGCAGCAAACATGTCTGTGAGGATAGCGACGATTTGTGATTATGCAATATGGGTACACGTAGCCAATTTCTGATGTCCGTTGAAAACGGGACTCCAAACCCAAGCGCCCTAGTATGAGTAATCTTTTGGTTGGCCCTCAATACAGGCTATGATGCATCCCAGGATGACTTTGCAAAGATGAGAAGGAAAGAAAAAAAAAGTAACGAAAAGAGTCTACCAATACATGACTTTGAAGCCTTCCAGAACCAAGAGTCAACTCTGACTAGACCATGCAATTATTCTACGTTTGTTCAACGCCTAGGAGGCTGATTCTTGCCAGCCGCAGTGGTGATCAACATCTTGAAACCGTTCTTGAGTGCTACCATGTCAGGATAGACGTTCTTGTGTAGCTCAAACGCGTTCGGTACGACCTTGATAGGCCATGCACCCCTAGGTCCCTTGGCGCTCATCTGGAAGCAGATCCAGAAGTGACCGGGGTATTTGGGCATGCTGCAGAATGCGTACATGGAGCGTGAAGCGTTGGCCTCGCAGTAGACCTCTAGCCATTTTTCTGCATCAATGTTAGCTTTTTTTTTTTTGCATGTTTGGTAAGGCGTGAGATGCAATGAACTTACCAGTATCTTCTCGTGTACCAGGTTGGAACTTATCGTCTCGTGTAATTTCTGTGACCTTGCGCGCCATTGCCTCCACGTGGTTGACGATTAACTCGTCAAGATCGGAGTATGTGTGCTTTCCGATCTTGAGTTGCTTTCCGAGCGAGAACTGGTTGGGCTTGTTCATTTCGAGAACGTCAAGATGTTGGTATGAATTGTTGGACACTTTCCATGTGACAACGAGATGATCGAAACCCTTGGACGATGGACGAATGACCAGGTCACCAGTCTCCTTTCCGCCCAGGTACTCCTCGGCTTGCATAGTGTTGAAGGAAAAGAAAAGAGGATGGTTGACGACACGGTTGGGCCGACCAGACGCAACTTCCTTCTCCTTTTCGGCAGCCTTCTTGTCGAGAGCTTCTTGCGCTTCGTCCCACTCGCCAGCCGCGCGGTTGTAGGGCTTCTTCTCTGGTTGTCGGATGAGATCGTCTCGAAGCGACAGTTGAGCGGTGAGAGCTTTGCGGTTGAGGTAGACGATTCGTGCGCGTACGATCTGGTTGTTCTGGTAGACATGGCGAGGCTCTTGTCCACCACTGCCAACGCCCTCTGGAAACTCCGACTCGGAGACACCACCTTCGATGCCACATTCGAGCTTGACTTCAATGTGGTCTGGGAATGTGCGCCTGATGGTAACAGGTACAACCATACCCTCATACAGGGTCTCCTCCGTCTCACCAGTCAACATTGTGAACATCTCGCTGCCAGACAAGAGTGCGAAAATCTGTCGAATTTCCTCGTAAGGGTTGTCGAGCTCAGCACGAATTGTCTCAAGCGTCGCGCGCTTACGCTGACCGAAATTCTTCTCAATTTCATTCGCGTAGTCTTCGAGCGCCAGATCGTTGACCAGATCGGTAGTCTCCTCCCGCACCATCTTTCTGACGACAGCACTGGGGCCACCTTCATCTGTCTCAGCCTTGACATCTTCCTCATCCATGTTAAGAGCATCGGCAACCATTTTCCTGGCAAGGTCGTAATCTTCTGGGTGTACACGGGTGTAGTCCAGGTAGTCGGACGACTCCTCTGTTGAATCATAAGGAATATACAGGAAACTGGCGCAGTTCTGGAAGACCTTGGGGCCCATAGCCGCCTTAAGGTCGCGGGACTCAGATACACCAAGTAGATCGAATCGCGACAAGATCTCATCGCTGTTCGCCTGGATGGCTTTGATCAAACGATCGGCTTTACGAGGTCCCAGACCGCACACGTAAGGTATCAACTTTGATAGGTACTTGTCGTCGTAGGTCTCCGGTAAGTCGATACCCACAAGATTGACCATGTCTACCATAGCGGTTTCGAGTCGGTCGAGAAGCTTCTCTTGTGGAATCAGGGTTTGGTTCGGGATAAAGGGAATCGAAACGATGTCTTTGCCAAGCGATGCGTATTCTGCCAATGGGTTTTGCAGATATCGGCCAAGAGCAACACAATACCTCGTTAATGCGGGATACTTGGGGAACTCGGCGACAGCCCGAGCACTTGTGTGGTAAAGACGAGCGACCTCATCGTTGACCATAATGACTTCCAACGACTCGTACTTCTCTTCACCGGTGTCTTCGTCTTCGTAGGCCGGACCTGTTAGACCTCGCTGACCGATAATCTCTTGTATGTCCTTGTACAGCTTACGTGTCTCTACCGCGAAGCCACTGACACCAATGACGTCTGGACGGCGACGCTGTATTACGTCTACCAGCTTCTCGATGTCTTGGCCTTCAGGAATACCACGCTCTGCGTTCCCAAGTCGCATCTCGACTAAGCGGCCGTGCTCAAGAACCCGTCCGTCGTTCTCGACGTAAGCCCACATGATTGCGTCTCCACGTTGACCCTTGCCGTTGGTCAGGCAGAGGACGTTAGGTACGGATCCGAGAGGTGCGCTCTTCAGCTTGTAAGGTGCCTGGTCAAGCTTGTTGTAATAGTTTTCTCTGGCTGATGCGGCAAGCTCGTCTTCACATCGAGCGCGCAGAGTTTCCTTAACACCGTTCGCGATGAGATCCTGTAGCTTGCCTAGAGCAGCACCGAGCAGTTCCTTCCGAAGGTTGTTCCAAGTGTCGGAGATGTCGCTGACACCATCGGAGATGATCTTCTCTTCAAGTCTTGTCTTGAACGTGTTGTAGTTGCCCATGGAAATCTTGACCCGAACGAGACCTTCCGCCTCAGCTTTCAGCATCTTCAAGAAAAGATCTGGTCGACCCTGGAGATCCGAAAATGTTACGCCGCGGAGGTATTTGAACTCATAGTAGGGGTGGTCTTCTGTAATCTTGCGCATACCCTTGTCGGTGCGGATGCAGTCGATCTGAGCATTCTGGTAGAAGCTACCGCGCAAGTATCGGCGCAGACGCGAGCACATCTTCAAATCTTCAACAAATAGAAGCTTGGTGGACCTGAGAAGGGTAGCGCCAGTCTCTGGAGCCTCGGCCATTTGGTCGGCGAGCTCCTCAACCTTGTACGGCGGATCCTCGATAGTATACGCGCCTCGACTAGACCCGTCGACCCTCTTCGCGAAGTCCTCTGGTGTGATGCCGATAGCCTTGACGAATTGGTTTGCCTTACCACCCCGCAACTTGTCGAAAAAGCTCCGCGCGTTGTTGGCACGCTTCTGTGTTCCATTCAATTCTTGTCGGACTTCGTTGATCTCTTGCGAATACTTGTAGTGCAGATAATCCTGAAGTTCCTGAATCTCTTCGATAGTGATGGCTCTGGACGTCAACTCCTCGATCTCGTTATCGGTGATGTCAGAGTATACGCTCTTGAGGTTCTCGTAGTTCTGCCTGAGGGCGTCACGCTTCTCTGCGAAGGCCCTGAACTTGAGATCGAACTCGAAGACTTCCCACAAATCGGCTTGGTTGAGCAGGCGCTCCGGTCGTGCATCCATAGGCGGCGGGTTATCAATATCGTCGTAGTCATCGTTGTCGCTCGGTGCATGGATGAGGTAGTCTTTTCGATGGTTGAAGATAAAGGGAACTTCGTAGTCCTCAAGATTGATGAACTCAAGAACCTTACGCACAGCCTTCTCGAAAGGTTGCAAGAAGTAGCGCGGAAGACCCTTCTTTGGCCACAGCATGTTGCTGATCCAGGTAGCTTCCTCGGTCAGGCGTGCTTGCATGTCCTCTGGTGTGAGCTCGATCTCCTTGAAGGATCTCCGGGCCAATTGCAGTCGCTCGGGAATGTCAGTCTCGCGGATAACGTTGTCTTCATCCGTAAGCATGCGCTCCTGCAATTGCGATGGCTCGAAAACATCTTTGAGTTGGAGTTCACGGCCTTCGCCAGCTTGCTCATCCTCTTCAGCCTCTTGCATCTCCAACGCCCAGTCGTAATCTGTGCCATCACCAAAGGCAGCCCTGTAGTCTTCCTCAGCGCCTTCGTCCAGACCGGCAGCTTGCAGTCCTTTCGTGATCAAGTTTATGCCTGGTTGCGTGACATCGCGGTCGTCTTCGATCTCGTCTTCGAACTTGTCGTCCTCGATGAAGTCATCAAATTCGTCGCCTAGGCGCGCGCGGGGCTCGTCGTAGTCTTCGTTTACTTCGTCATCGGAGAAGATGTCATCGACACCTCGAGACTTTACGCGCTCTTTGTGGCCACGCTTGAGACGCTTGAATCTCGACTTTCTCAATGTTAGCGATGTCGACACTTCAACACGGCATGTCTTACCTGTTCTTCCGCCGGGCGTTCAACCTCGACACCGATCAGGTCCAGATCCTCGTCGTCGAGGGCTTCCTCCTCTTCACGGTTCTTCTTCCTCTTTCTGCGCTTGCGCTTGCGCTCCGCGATCTCATCTTCTTCGTCGTCCTCGTCTGCGATGAAGCCTTCACCTTCCTGAGAACTGGTTAGCACTTCCCGAGAGCCAAGTCAGTACGGGCAAGCTTGCCTGTCGCAGTCGGTCTTCATCGTCGTCGTCTTCCTCCTCGCTGGAGTCGTCGATGCCATTTGTGCCATTTGTCTTCTTCGGCCTGGATTCACCGGCCTCGCCAGCCTCGCCATCGAAGTCCTCATCCTCCTCTTCATCGCTGCCTACATCGGCGATTGTGTCGAAGAAGTCCGCCATGGTGTCTTAGGACAAGGAGAACGCGTGAGTTGATGGTACTTTCTCGAAAGCGCGATGGACGATTTCGGCGAGCTCTTGGCCGTAGAGTGGGTATCGTGCTGCGGCGATTCAGCGGGAGGCAGATTCGGGCGCAATGGAGGTAAAGGAGAGAAGAAAGGCAGATGTCGACTCTCAAAGGTTCGCGCAGCCATCGGCCGCGTTAACTTTCGGCCGCACTGACGCTGATCACGTGATACTGGGATTCGCGCTAGGGGGTAATACCAGCAGCAAAGCTGACCATGCCCAACTTGGCACAGCATGCTACAGCTACGGGCATCAAACACGTGGACTTGGCTAGTCCCGTCCATTACGTGCATCTAGTCATGTTCTCAGGTAGGGTTTGAGAAGGATGCGAGCTCCGATGTACTAGGCGCTTCAGCAACGACTCAGATGCTGAATACAACACATCAACTGCTATCGCTCTTATGCTTCCGAGTAGTACTGGCAAGCGAACGAATGCGCGTTGCATATCTTGAGAGTAAACGTAGTGGACAAATTCGCACCTTGTATATGCGATTCGTCTGCTGCGTCAGGCACATGCTCGTATTCAAGATACGCGCCTTGAAGTTCTGCGCTAGAAGCAGGTGAAGCATGGCGATGATGAACCATGCGAGTCTGAAACCTCCTGAACAAGGCATCGTGTAATGTGTATGTACTTATCAAAGGCTCGTTCCTTGTAGGACCCATAGGTTCGACAGCATTCTTTTTCTCGAAAGCGAAGTTGCATCTTCCATCGCTTGCACTACCCGCAGCCCTGCAGAGTGAGTTGATAGACGTTAGACGCTGCGTGCTTGGAACCCCACCAGCGCGCCCCACTACCTAGCCCTGGAGACTGACACGACGACGACCTCTCCTGACTTGGTTTGCTGTCAACGACGCCTGAGACATTCTCCTTTATACCTGACCTCCGACTTTCCAATCGGTCCCCGCACCCTCTTGCCCGCGCACACTCGCTCGTCAGGCGCCCGAAAAAGGACAAACCAATAGACGCTGTCCTCCTTTGGGCTATTTCCGTGATTGGCGTACCATCGTCGACACAGCGTCGGGCGGCAAACTCGAAACCAGAGCCAGCATACACCCTCTTCTGCACCTGGGCTCCTTGTCTCTGACGACATAGTCCTCACCTTGCAGTCGCTGCACCCCTTCACCTGCACCTGCACCACCACAGCGCCCGGCGCAAACCTGCAAGATGGCTGAGTCGTCCTTCAAGCAGAAGACGATGAAGAGGAAGAACGTCAAGGGCCTAGCACTGAGCGCTCCCCCACCCAAGCCCGCTCCTTCCGCCGGAGATGCCCAAATACCTGGCGCCCGAGCCAACGATGAGAAGCAGGATACCCTTGAGATTGGTGTTGAGTTCCAGCTAGACCTGAAGGCCGAGGATCTGATAGTGCTGCGGGAACTGGGTCACGGAAACGGAGGAACGGTCAGCAAAGTGCAGCACGCTGCTACCAAGGTTATAATGGCGAGGAAGGTTAGTAGCAGGCTAGTAGGGCAGACACGAGGGAGAAGACTGACAGGGGCAGGTCATACATGTCGAAGCGAAGAACGAAGTACGGAAACGAATCGTGCGAGAACTCCGAATCATGCACGACTGCAACTCGGATTACATTGTCGACTTTTACGGTGCCTTCCAAAATTCTTCCGGGGATGTGATCATGTGCATGGAGTACATGGACGTGGGGTAGGTTCAGGGTGGTGCATACGATATGCTGGGAGTTACTGACTGTTATACCAGGTCGCTCGATTGGGTCTCACGAACATTTGGACCAGTCCGCGTCGACGTACTCGGAAAGATCTCAGAGGCAGTGCTCGGAGGCCTCGCCTACCTCTACAGCGCCCACCGTATCATGCATCGCGATCTCAAGCCCTCGAACATCCTCGTAAACTCAAAGGGAAACATCAAGCTGTGTGACTTCGGTGTCTCAAGTGAGCTGGAGGGATCTATCGCCGAAACATTCGTAGGAACAGGCACATACATGGCGCCAGAGCGGATACAAGGGTCTCCCTACACCGTCAAGTCCGATGTGTGGAGTGTTGGACTTACGCTGATGGAATTGGCCATTGGAAAGTTTCCCTTCGCTGGAAGCGGCGATGACGACGAAGCTGGAGGCCCACAGGGTATCCTGGATCTTTTGCAGCAAATCGTTTTGGAACCCTCACCAAAGCTGCCAAAGAGTGATGCTTTCCCGTCAATTCTTGAGGATATGATTGCGAAGTGCTTGATGAAGGACCCAGCGGAGCGACCAACTCCCAAGGAACTATACGTAAGTTTTACAGGACTCTTTCTGCGACGTATAAATACTGATCATAGCAGGACCATGACGCTTTCCTCCAAGCCGCGAAGCGCACACCCGTCGACTTAGAAGCATGGGCCATATCCATGATCGAACACAACAAGCGCAAATCTCACCTCGCCCCTGCCGCACCCGCGGCGACCATCAAAGAGAAGCTCCGCGAGCGATCTCCTCCCCACAAGCGTGATTCTAGCGATCCCAGACAAAGAGTAGCCAACGGCGAACAGGAACCTGCACCCCGACGACCTTCATACCCAACACGAACATCGAGCAGCGGCAATGTTATGAACCTGCCCATGCGACCTGCGCCGCCTGTAGACGGCCCAGGAAGTAGACCAGGGAGCAGGGGACCGTCGGCGAATGGGTTACCACCTCAACCCAGGAGGTGGAACAGCGAAGTGCAATAGCTGGGCAAACTACGTTTGGGTACTAGAAGGCGGATCTGAGCGAGTATATAGAAGATTTCACGGGCATTTTGGATGGTCTCTGCTGGATGTTGGGACTATGTTTATCAAGTAAAATGGTCAGGAGATTTCGCCTTGATGGCATGTTAGAAAGGAGCAGGCTCGTTGTTATTGACATTCGACTAGCATCAAATTTCAGTTGTCCATATTCCCATCACAGGTGCCATAAGAAGATCATGACTGGCAATTTAGAGTTGGGTAAGTCACTATCATTCACTTTTCAAGATACAAAGCAGTTTGTGTGCTCATAAGAATTGTCGCCGCATAGATTATGCATAGCCAAACCGCACTTCGAGCTCAAGAAATCGAGAGCTGAGATCACGATTTGAATGATCGCAGATGTGGCTCGCTGGTCTTCTGTCCTCATTTTCACGGGGGTTCATAACTATCGAGAATGTTCTGCAGTCCTTATTGTAACATTTTGCTGGTCACAGAAGGCATATACTGTTGCCAGCATTATCTACTGCAATCCGTACATCTCTTGTCGCCATCGTAATTCCGTTCTCATCCATGCCATAACCCTCAACTTCATTCTACAGTAATATTGTGTTTACTGCAACTCGTTGCCATAATAGCCGATGGGCTCAGTATTTAGCTGAGCTCATCGAACAACGCATGGTTTCTGCACACCCTCCTCCCACTGAATCGTAATCTCTGGTACTTGCGGGTCTTCTCAGTAATATTGGCAAGATCTAATGGAAACCCTGCCTTATTGCGTACAGATTGCATACGGCGAAAATAGGCTTCTGTGCAGCGATCATCGTCTTCTTCCTCAAATGTATCGGGCCATTTGCAATAATACTCGAACAAGGATACGGAAGAGGTGTCATCGCCACAATTTTGGGGGTGGCGCAAATTGTTTAGGGACTGTTCTGCGCGATCGCGTACGCGGTCTTTGACTTGGTTACGTGTCTCAACATAGGTAGTGATCCGAAAGAAATCGTTTAGGAACGCTTTCCAATCGAAGGCAAAGGTCTTTCGGACAGTATCAACCATCAGCCCCGGAAGCTCGGCTTCATTGCAGTAAGACCCGAGCGTGGCAGTTTGGCTAGCATGGTATCTTTCTCCGGATCTTTCTTCGAAATCTAGATCTCGAAAGGCCATTAGTCCAACCACAATATCCTTGCAGCAATCGCAATGGATCCATTCGTGATCATCTATGGGTATATCGTCATGATGAAAGTTGAATTGGAACTGCGCGCTGAACTGAGCTCGTGCACTGTCCTCGATGAGATTCTGGAACTGTATGCTCAGCACTCTGCAGTGGTAGTAGAGAAAGCGATCTTGATGCTGGGCGCGCCCACGAGCGAGCCAAGATATATCCAGAGTTGAGAGGCGTTTCAATACAAACTCGTGTTCAGCTTCCGCTCGAAAGGTTTGGGAGACCTGCCGGCAAATGACCCAAAGCGTGTAGTCGTCGTCCACATGATGAAGGACTCTCGACCAGATCTCGACAGGCAGGTAAGGTTGTATTTGCTGCGCGATCATAGCCGGCCATCTGATGTTCATCAGGATTTGAGTTTGTGTTGGTATGCATCTCACTTACGGTGCATTGGCAGAGTCTGTGTTATCCAGAGAGGAGGTCATCGTGGCCCGAAATCGATCCGACTTGATCGCGGAGCAGGAATGTGTCGAAGATAAGAGGGATAGAGGCGGCGCCTAGTTAGAGCCCTTAAAAGAGGACTTGGGTAGAAGAGCGCCTGCTGACATGGTCAATGCTGACATGCACTTATGAAAGAGCGACGATCCGTGTAATTATGCACGACGGCAGTGAGCCCACTTATGATTGCCCAGCCCCTCATGCAGATACCCATGTACCACGAAGGTCTGACCCGAGTGATGATCATATTACTGGGGATCTGTGGGTGTGGAGGTACGAAGTTAGTGGATGATTCACATAGTTCTCTTATAGTCACAACTTACCTGTCCGGAAAGTGGGGCTTCTGTGTTTACGAGATATGATAGCATCATTTTGCTATTGCTAGAGAAGATTCATGAACCATATACAGATATAAAATTCATCGCCGAATGAATTCAAGGGCAGCGGAGCAGGTCGAATTGGATACAAAGGATCATCCTCCCCCATCCACACCGTGCACCTTACTCTAAGAGAGCTCACACAGCGGATCGGCCTTCCCTCTCATCGTCATCTCTAGGTGGGACCATAGCAATCCTCATACTGTCCTGTCGCATGATCTGTCTTTGCTGGTCTCTCACCAGTCTCATGGGTCCCCGATAGAACGCCGACAACAGATCCGAGATGTTGAAAGCATCAACGACAGCGCTGACCGGCCCTGCAGCAGGGCTACCCTGTTGCTTGTATGGTAATGGTGAGAAGGCGAAGAGAAGAAGGACTGCGAAAATGGGCATTTCGCAAGCGAGGATGAGCGAGGCGAGGCCGCTGTTGATATCATGGAATGTCATGTATTTAGTAGGTTTGAGCGCGCCATGGCCCGCAAGTAGGGAGATGATAAACTAGTAGTGTTGTCAGCATACTATACGAATCTCAGACTAAGCAAAGGAGTGTAGAACTTACCGACTGGAGGAAGTTCAGACCAAGAATACCCTTGAATGTCGCCAGCTTGAGTATGATTCGATGCTCCTTCAACAATTTCTGGTTGAACTTATAGAACCTGAGGGAACTGATGATAGCGACTGTGGTGGTATATGCGACCAGAATCGTGAGCCACAGGTGTGCGAAATGTACGTTGTTGGACTGTTTGCAGTAGGTGCCGGTAGCAAGGGTAGCTGCGGTGGCAATCCATATGATGATACTGGTCGGTATAAACTGAAGCACGCCGTACCAAATACGCTGAAAAGGGTCAGATGAAGTCCAGTTGTCTTGACGATAGGATAACAACTTACCTTCAGCCAATTTGGACTGTTTTCCTTGAGAGTACCTTTGGCTCTCGCTCCTTCTCCGAATAAAGCGTCAAAGCCCTCACGACGCGAGAGCACAAGATCGCACATGAACAGCAGGAATGCCGATAGCGCGATGGAACAGCCGAAATCAAGTGAATGTACTAGGTATTCTCCTGCGTCTTCTCGCCAGACGACGAGAAAAGAGAACAGCGCCACCCATGGTACCAGTAACATGATCCGGATGATCTGTCGTTGTTGTACAGGATTCGAGTAGTTGAATGCATGAAGGGCGATGAGAATACCGACGACGATTGTGCTGAGGATGGCACAGGCTCCAGAGAGAATTGTTGCGAATTGGTGGAATGTAAGGTTACCGACGAAGGGCACAATCTCAGGGCCACGGGTATCCTCAACTGGACATGTCTTGGAGTCCTTTCGTCGCTCGAGATGGTTTCTTGCTACCAGTATAAAGGTATCCATAACCTGGCGATGGTACCCCGCTTGATAAGATGTGGGAGAATACAGCAGTAATGCAGAAAAATGTATGGCTTTGGTAGCAACACTGTGGAAGATAAAATAGAAGTCCGATGAGGAGAAAATAACATAATCGTTCCTAACGACTTGAGCAATATATACTTACAGTACAATGTTCATCCCAACCTAGCTGGTATACCCGCATAACGTAGCCACGCTTCAGGCCACCCTCGTGCCGGTGGCTGAGCCATACAAACCATGCCATTCACGACCACCGCTCAGAATGCCAGATAAAGGTAGAGCGACCATTGCAGCTCCTGTAAGCACTACTTGAAGCAGTCCTTGGCGAGGCTTGTACCTATCTCTAAGGTGCTTAGCAGACCCTTGACGCAACCCGGGTATAGCGATGAGGCGCAGTATGGCATGATGCGTATGATTCGCGGATAAGATATTTGCTTGCGTGGCAGAGCGCTGAGTTTGGCTAATGCTATAAGCCCGCAGACGCCGTTCTCCTGCTGCGCGAAGGGCACCTGAATAGGTATAGTGCTGAGGCCTGCTTTAGGGCTGAGGCTTGCTGAGATACGATTGGTTGACGAAGTGAAGAAGGGGATCATGACGATATGCATAGCACAGTTCGCGTTTCATGGGAGGCCGAGCGCGACAATCATATCCGTACGACGTCTTGCAGTTTGAAGACACCCTTGAGATGGTTGGTAGTGTAGATTACGGGTGCAACGCGAGAAGGCGCGGCCATCGCTAGCGTGCCAAGATTCCGAAGCGGTGGACAGTGGCAGAAATAATTCTAGGATTGGGGCATTCGCGACCAAGAACGTTTTGCGCAAAGAACCTCAGCGCATACATCCAGGGACCTCTGCCGTCACAAAACTAATTGATAAGAAGACGCATACTCTATCTTCAAAGAAAGGGTCGCTGCTCCTCTTAAAAAAAACATGGCTATGGAACGCGGGCTCAAGCCCAGCACTTCGCAACCGCGGCGCAAGTCGCAAAACGCAGCGCCCATCGACGACGAAGACACCCGTGCAGTCAAAGAATTCACCGAGGCAGCCACGAAGCAATATGGACGCGGCGATCGCATACGGCCAAAGTCAGTCAAGGACAAGAAGCTGCGATCCAACATCAAGTCGCTCGAGGCGAAGAACAAGCAGGCAGCGATAGAGGCGAAGAATGTCGAAGTTCTGCTCGAGAACAACCCTGGATTGATGGAACCCGAAAACGAGCTGGAAAGGACATACAAAGTGCGACAAGATGAAATTAAGCGGGAGGTTGGTGTCGAGACGGCAAAGAAGAGCTTCGAGCTGCGGTTAGAAGGTCTTGGGCCATACGACGTATGCGAATACAGTCGCAATGGTAGAGACTTGTTGATTGCGGGCAGAAAAGGCCATGTCGCAACTTTCGACTGGAGAGACGGAAAGCTTGGCTGCGAACTACAACTCAACGAGACGGTACGAGACGCGCGATGGCTACACACGAGTAATCAGAAGAACTTTGCGGTAGCGCAGAAGAACTGTGTCTATATCTACTCGGGCGACGGTGTTGAGATGCACAAGCTCAAGAACCATTCCGAAGCCACACACCTCGAATATCTGCCATATCACTTCCTTCTTGCATCGGTGTCGACGGCGGGCATAGTACGATATACCGATGTTTCTACCGGACAGTCACTACAGCAGCTTTACACAAAGCTCGGCCCCTCAACCGCTCTCGCACAAAACCCACATAACGCAATCCTACACGTCGGCCATCAAAAAGGTCTCGTCACATTGTGGTCGCCCAACAGCGCTACGCCCCTCGTCAAGCTCCTCCCACATCGCGGCCCAGTACGAAGCATCGCGGTAGATAGGTCAGGAACCTACATGGTCAGCACATCACAAGACCGACGCATGTCTGTCTGGGACATCCGTATGTTCAAAGAGATGCATCAACAAACGCTCCGCGTCCCGGGCACCACGCTCTCCATCTCAGACCGCAACCTCACAGCCGTCGGCTTCGGCACGCAAACCGCCATCTACAAAGACGACCTCTTCCGACGAAACGCCGAAGACCAAACTCCACCCATAATGCCGTACATGGGCTGGGGCGGTGAAGGACTAAACATTGGTCGCGTACGCTTCTGCCCCTTTGAAGACGTCCTCGGTATATCACACGACAAGGGCTTCTCCTCCATCATCGTCCCTGGTTCCGGTGAACCCAACCCTGATACCCTCGAACCGGGCACCAACCCTTACGAGACTTCCAAGCAACGTCGCGAAACAGAAGTCCACGCTCTTCTCGAGAAGATCCAACCCGAGATGATTGCGCTCGACCCCAACTTTGTCGGTAACCTTGATTTGGCGACCAACGAGGAGCGGCAGAGGGAGATCAGGGCGGCGAGAGGAGAGAAGGAACCGGATAAGGTGGATATGCTGAAGAAGAGGGGTAAGGGTAGGAACTCTGCGCTTAGGAGATACCTGAGGAAGAGCGGGACGAAGAACGTGATTGATGAGGAGAAGGAGAGGGCGAGAGAGGCGCTGAAGAATATGCAGAGAAGGCAGATTGAGAGGAAGGAGAGATTGAAGAAGGAGTATGGTCCTGCGCTTGAGAGGTTTGCTAGGAAGTGAGCTCTAACATGCTCGCTTGTTAAGATACCATACTGGCGTTGGGGGTGAAAAGCATATTTTTCATCAGCATTTCACGGCGTTTATATAACTGATCTGGTACCCCTTGATAGTTGATTGAGGCACTATGTTGAGAACGAACAATAAAACTCCATACCCATTTTGCCTATCTAAAATGCCTAAAATGCCCATGATATCATAAAAGTCATTGATGCGTATTCTTCTAAGCCACAACAAGCTCAGGCACCTGTTCAGCCGACTGCTCCATCTCTCCTCTCCACGCCCTTGCACTCCTTGGCCACACCCTCTTGTAGAGACTGACAGCAACAGCATCCATAGGGCTAATCTTGCCATCAAAGGTGGCCTTGAAGTATCCATGCGTACCCAAACTCTCCTTGATGAAACCGCTCCTTCCACGCTTCGTCCATAGAGGCAAGCTCTTGAACCACTTGACGTCGCCGTCGTTGAAGAACATGTAGCGGACTGTCACGACGCGCTTGTTGATCTTGTAGGGGTGGCCGGTCAAGATGATGCGCTTAGCGATGATGCGGTTGGTGGAGGGTGGGAGAGATGTGCCTGTCGCAATCAAGCGGAGTGAGGAGGGATGGTCGGGAGAGGGTGTTTCACGTGTGAAGAAGAGGAGGGGGACATTGCCCCAGGTCAGAGGACCGATGAAAGACGCAATGGCCGACTGGCCAGGGTGGAGGAAGCGGGAGAATTTGTGCACGTTGTTTGGTGTGTTTCCAGCATGCGAGAATAGCTAAGGAACTGTCAGTACTAGATGGTAAAGCACACGCTCGTAGTAACTTACTGGGTTAATCACTATCCTCCTTGGTCCACACTGCACAATCATCTCGGTCTTTGACTTGATCGGCGATTCGTGCTCGGAGCTGAGCAGAATGCTGTAGTTGCAAGCTGTGCGCTTGTGCTCGTGTCTGAGCAGGGAAAACATGGCCATTGGCCGTGATTGAATTTCCTGGAATTGTAATGGGACGCCGCGAATGTGTACGCTTACCCGAGTTCCAGGCTTGACACCACCAGCCCAGGCTTCGCGCATGAACTTGGTCGCTGTGCGCTTGTAGTCAGAGATGTCGAGCAACCGTTGCCACTCCTCTGGCTCGTATGGTCGATCCTCTTCTGTTTCCCAGTGGCTGTTCTTCAGACTCTTCAATCCTCGGTAACGGATCAGACGCTCTCGCGCGTTAACATTCGGGTGCAATTCGATCTCATCAGGGAACTCCAGGTCTTCATCCTCTTCGGTTTTCCTGGACCTCCGGTACTCCTCGATCTGTGCAATCTCGTCCTCTGGTGATGGATCCAGGAACATCTCCGACTGCGGGTACTCAGATGGTCCACCCTCTGTCATGGCCTTGCCATCAACATCCATGCCTTCTACACCGTCTGCCGGGTGCGCAGGCTGACTTTGATTGTCTTCAACGTCCATCTCGTCGAAGTCCTCAAGATCAGAACCTGAGTCGGACATGTCGTCAAGATACCATGCGGACTGGTAGTTACTCGTGCCCTTTGGCAAACGCCTCTGTTTCGCAGGGGCGACCTCCTCTTCCTCGTCTGAAAAGTAGTGGTGATCATCGAGTAGAACACCCTTGCGCTCAGAAGGGGCAATGGACGTTGCGTAGTTGGTAACGTCATCCATGAGGGTCTCTTCCGGAGCGAGATCTGCCAGATCATCCTGGTCTTCCGTTGGACGTTCTAGAGTATCATCGCCCTCTGTGTCAACAGCCATCTCCTCTTCTTTGTTCTTCTTTCTCGCCTCCAGCGGTGCAGCGACAATCTTGTCGACTTGGAAGTCGCCCCAATCTCCGACCTGTACTAGCCTGTCGGCTTTCAGTCCAAGACCTCGGACAACACCGGTAATGACAACGTCGCCAGTACCGTCCTCACTGGCAGCTGACTTGCCACCAGGCCAGGCAATATCCTCAATGAACATGTAGCTTCTCTGGTCTCTCCATCGAACACCCTTTGTGGTGGTTGTGCATAGCGATCGAACGAGATTTGCGCCTTCTTGTCGGTTGTCGAGAGAGTAGACGCGCTCGGTGGAGGGTAGCCAGTGGGTGATGTATGATTTGAGCGAGGAAACGACGGATGGCCTGGCTTTGGCAGGCTCAACCTTGTCCAGTCCTTGGACGACGGTGAAAGTGTTTGAGATACCCTGGCTTTCGACCGACTTCAGTATCAGCTCGCCCTCTGCATCGACCTCTTCATGCGCCGACAGGATAAAGACAACAAAGTCAGCGACACGGCAGGCGTCAAGAGCCGCCAAAAGATCCCTCTTGACGATCAGGTACTGCACTTTCTGCTTGAAACGGTCGATGCTTGTGCGCGTCCATCCTGCCTCGGGAACCTCCTCTTCAATGTCCAGACTGGAGTTCAGGCTGCGCACAGCTGCCGCGGTAGAAACGTCTGAACACAGCGGGATAAGAGCGGTGATTCTTGGCGCACCATCCTTTCCGGCGAATACGTTGGAAGACTTTGCGTGCTCGTGGTCCTTGTTGATGCGCATCTGCTTGGCGCGGTTGCGGCGGTCGATCTTGCTCACGACTTGCTGGTGGGGGGTCTTGCGGCTGCCGAATTCGAAGGAGAGGGAGTTGACCTTGCCTATACAACACAGTCAGCAAAGCTCGGCCTGGTGGTGGTGAAGGACGCACCCTTGCTCTGCTCCTTGAGCGCGCCTTTGGTGGCATGGCGAGACTTGAAGCCCTTCTTCTCTTTCTTCGTGGTACTGCGGTGGTGGTGCGATTGCGCAGCGATGGGAGCCATGTTGTTGCCGCTGCCACCTGATTTGAACCGAAAAGGAATGGACGCCACTTTGACTATTCGGTATCAAAGACAGCGCTACACTGTTTGGTGGTGGAGAGTGGGATGGCGATAATTTTGACCCGTTATCGATAAAGGTGCCTAAGTGGAATAATTTTGGTTCCTCGGCTGTGGCGTCATGCGCAACATCCCTGCATCCCAGCCCTCGCTCTACTCAACCACTCTTCGCCTCACATATCACACTCTATGCATTGCCTCCCCAAGCCTGAAAATGTAGTTTTGCTTTGAAAGCAGATTTTCAATCTGCCATAGCCACAAAGACACGCCTTCAAACATGGCACACCTTTGACTTCCGCTGGCGAAGCATGTTTCGGCAGCGACCAGCGCATGCAATGAAAGAGCTTGAAAGACATTCACTATACCTAAGCATTACACTTCGATGGCCAAGTCAAGACAAGTCCCAGGATTATCATTGACCCTTGGAGAAAGATGATTACATGTTCTCAGCACAACGGTGGGTTGCGCAATTATAGCGCCACGAACAGGTCAATCAGGTAACCAAAACCCCCCTCTTGGACCCTTACAGATCGTAACTTGACGATGTTTACATTCGTTGTCGTAATATAGCGGTAGGAGGGTCATGCTGCCACTTCGTGATTCTTGGTGTGCTCTCCTCGTTCTCTTCTGTCGTTTTCACGGACGTTTACAGTGGACGCCTGTGTCGCTTCTTCGACTATTCTCGACAATATCGAGTCTATTGCGGGTGATTTTTGCGATGCCCATACTGTCTCAAAAGGATATAAACGAGCTGGATGCAGGGTCAACAGGGCAGACCTCAAACGCAAGCTGCCAGACTCCCGCTGCGCAACAAACCTACCAGCGCGCCATTCCACGCAACCTAGTCAATCCAAATCCCCCTTCATCACAAAATGTTCAGCAAACATCCACTCAATGCACTCTAGTCAAGCCAAATAACGACACCTCCGTCAACGCGCCAGCACCGTATCCCTTCGGACCGGATCAAATTGTGGGCCACCCTACAGGCTTACAATTCCCTCGCGACAGGGCAGATGCAGTCAAAGTTCTCGTTCGCCTTCTCCTCGATATACTGGTATACAGCTATGATGTCGACTTTCACGAGCTCCATTTCGCTCTCGCTACATCTTCACCGCATCTGTGCACTGCGAATCTCTCTACTCGAAACACCAGTCTTCTGAATTTCCAGGAGATGCGTGTTGTCCTCGAGTATGCCGATGCCGTTCATAAAGCATGCGAGGCAGTCATCGACAACACCCAGAGTCTACTAAAAGATGAGAACCGCAATGTTATCATCGATCTCATAATGCAGCCAGCACAAACCCTCGGGATCGACGTAGCTTACGTTTTCGAACAGCTCTACGCTTTCCGGTCGCACAGATGCGATAGTGGGAACCATAACAAGACACTACTTTATACCAAGACATCATTTTGGACACGACGGCGTGGCCTATTACCTGGCAAATTGGGTATGGACAAGAATCAAAAGCTACTTGCACGCCGACTTGTCTCTGACGATATAGCTGTTGCACAGCTCGGCACAAGGTCCAACGAGGCGCTCGCGCTAGTCCTGGGCAAGGCGATCAAGCAATACAACAAAAGGCATTGCAGATACGGAATGGCCAATATTAAGCGAGATGTATACGCTGAGCCTCCATTTGTGGCGTTGAGAAAAGAGGTCATGAGGTGGGAGCTTCTGCGAGAAAAGTCAGCCCAGGATGGGAGCCAGCCTTCAAACGTAAAGATTCAAGCAGATTGGAGGATGAGCATGCAACCCAAATACGAAATCGCCGAGCGACACAATCGGAAGTTAGACAACCGGTCCTATCATGGGATGGGCAGTCTGCCAAATACGGCACCGCGTGGGAACAGTCATAATACGCGTAGGCCACGCTCTTTTCATGATCTACAGGCTATACAGGAACAATCCGAAACACCGACCAGACCACAGTCTGTATGCAACATACGCTCATATATTATGCCTCGACCAGACGCAGCTTGTCGTGGGCTATCGACGAACTTTTAGTAGGTTGCGTCGACGCTGAGGCATCTGGGTGATAAATCGACGGTGCTCTCGCAGCAAGATACTATACACCGTTCGTCAAAGACAATGAAGGTCCCTAAGCTCATACAACGCGCATGGATCACAACCAGCTCCACTTTCTGAGTCAGATTGCTACATATACAATATAACCAACACCCTCTATCCCAACCCAAGGATAGCAACTCAAACTCCTATTCCCAGAAACATACAATTCGCGCTTCGATACTCTCCCTCGGTTCCTCTCCTTCAGTCCCCTTGACTCTGAACGCCGTATGTGGACACCTCCATCCCAGCTCCTCCCTCTTCGAGTCCAACCCCTTGAACACGACCATTTCCCACGGCTGCATGTTACTCATATACCACCACTCATGCTTCTGTCTGCTCTCTCTATGACTCATAACGTAATTCTTACTCTTATTTCCCGTGCGACTAAACTCCCTTAGTCTGACCTGATAGTCGCTGTCAGGAACGGTGGTCGCATCGCACACGGCCAAAGGATCCCTTTTCACTGTTTTCAGGGGGCGCCAGGCGCCGAGGAAACAAAACCGGGAGGATTTGGTGAAGAGGGCATCGATGTGAGGTGGGAAGGAGAGCTCCGTGAGAGTACCTGATAGGGCGTCGGGGGAGCCTTCGTAGTCGACGTGTGGGTGGCCTGAGGGGATGTCTTGCCAGCGGCCTTGTGCATCTTGAATGCCTTTTTCCGTGGGGGAAGAGTGGGCACGGATAACATGGTTGAATACGTGGGCTGTTGATGCGCCGGTTCTGTGTTGGTGGTGGTGTTAGCTTCTATTCCTCTTTTGTCTCCTCAGTCCTATAATGAAATATGTACGCGGGTATTACAATTTCTTGGCTACTTCTTCTAGCTCCGGATAGTATTCTCGCTTGACATCTTCTTCGCTGCTGTTACGTCCTACCCTCTCTTTGCGTGGTAATGTCACGAACGTGAAGCCGTTTACATCCAAATCGAAGGTCTTATCGGCCTTGCGTACATCTCTGATCAGCATAGGTCGAGTGTATTCATCATTGTCATCTAGATATTTCGTTTTCCACGCTGATTTGGGGATTGGCACGCCTGTGGCAGGGAAGTAGTTGATGTTGGCGACGACGTCGGTGCTATGTGGGTCTGGCTGCATTTTGTGGGTGACAGACGTGATTTTCGGATCTCGTAGAAACGAAGAAGTGCAGTTTAAGTTAGTTGGAGACTCTATCAGACATTTTCAAGATCATGAAGTATGCGTAGCCCTGTTCGCGGATCCGCGGAAGGCATGATGTTACGGGTGAAGTGGGGTAAGCACATGCGCGGTGCTCAGCCCGAGCAACAGGCATCTATCATGACTGAGTGTTCCAAGTCGTATAATAATCGTTCCTCATATCTCATGATCTGGAGTTACCACAGATTTTGTCTAAACCGGTTTTTTTTGGCGTTACTCAAACACATTGCTTCTCTAGAGAATCGCCTTCAGGATGTCGATCTGCTCCATGACAGCACTCTTACTTGTACCACCAGTAGCATTCTTCAGCTCTACTGCACGCTCATAGTCTAAGCACTCAACCACATCGTCGCCTAATCGCGAGTCAATACCCTTGAGCTGCTCCAAGCTCAGCTTGTCCATGGGTACATTCTCCTTTTCTGCCAAGGCGACGACACGACCAGAGATGTGGTGACCCTCACGGAATGGTACACCCTTTCGGACAAGGTAGTCTGCGAACTCTGTAGCCAGCATCTCTGGGGTGAGCGCGGCATGCATTTTGTCGGCTTGGACCGTCAGAGTTGATAGGACACCGGTGGCGATCTGAATGGAGTCGCTGACCGTCTTAATGTGGTCGATGAGAGGCTCAACAGACTCTTGCAAGTCCTTGTTGTAAGTTGTGGGTAGACCCTTGATGGTGACATACAATCCTGCCATGTGTCCGAAAGCACGGCCGCTCTTTCCCCGGATCAGCTCCAGGGAGTCTGCGTTCTTCTTCTGCGGCATCAGGGAGCTTCCTGTGGAGTAGGCGTCGGCTAGTCGCACAAAGCCAAACTCCAGACTCGAGTAGATGATCAGATCCTCCGCCCAGCGCGACATCTTAAGCATGAGGCTTGACCCCCATTGCATCGTCTCGAAGACGAAATCGCGATCTCCGACAGCATTGAGCGAGTTTGGAAGCAGGCCTTCGAATCCAAGCTCCTTGGCCATAGCATGACGGTCGATGCCGAAAGGGTTGCCAGCCAGCGCACCGCATCCCAGAGGAGAACGGTTCACACGCTTTATGACTTCGCGGAGGCGCTCGAGTTCAGACGCGAAAGCGGTGGTATGTGAGAGGATCCAATGCGACCATCGGATTGGTTGTGCCTTCTGGAGATGTGTGTAGCCGGGCATCAACACATCGATCTCAGCCTCTGCTCGCTGTACTGATGTCTTTATGAGAAGCTTCAGGTAGCCTTCTAGTGTCCTGAGCTGTTCCCTCAGCCATAACCGTAGATCTGTTGCGACTTGGTCGTTCCTGCTACGCCCTGTGTGGAGCTTTCCTCCAATATCCTTGCCAATGATCTCGCTGAGTCGTCGCTCGTTGGCAGTGTGAATGTCTTCATCATTGGCCTTAACCTCGAAGGTCTTTGACGCCCACTCCTCCTTGATCTGTGCCAAGCCCTTCTCGATGGCAGCGAACTCATCGGCGGTCAGGATGCCAGTGTTCTTGTTGGCGCGAGCAAACGCGATTGAACCGGCAATATCCTCGGCGTAGAACAGACGGTCGTACGGTAGAGAAGCATTGTACTGCTCCATGACTGGGTCAAGGCCCTCTGTACGCGTCTCAGTATCCAGTCATCGCAAGTGTTTGCCGGCTCAATTGAACCATTGGTTGCACAAACCTGTGAAACGGCCTCCCCATAGCTTGTTCTCTGCTACCTTCTGTTCTGAAGCCATCTTGAGTATATTAAGAGGACAGGATTTGTGCAATTAGGTTGTGACTGTTTGCGCGTTCAAGAAAAAGATGACGCTCCGCATCGGCGGCAGGGGTGCGATAGCGCTAAATGTCGCGGGGAACTTTCCCTTGTCCCCACTTCGGCTGCCCCTCAACCATAGACTCATCACCAGGTTCACATACACAACAATCATGCATTGTCAATTGATGGATAATTCGATTTCAAGATATATTGCCAGTTCATAAGTGATATACTGGAACATAGAACATACGCTATCGTAAGCACCACAAGAAAACAAATACCCAGTACTACTGTTTGCTTCGAACCTTATCAAGAGCTTGCTTCAGAACATCGTGAGATAAGCGACGCCAGGCGGGCTTTCTGGCAGGGGCGTCCTCGCGCAATCCAGCTTCTAACAAGCTCAAGCTGTTCGAGTGGTTCGGGTTGTGTTTGGATGGCTGCAAAGCAACATGCAACTTGGTTCCAAAAGATAGCTTCAAAAGCTCAGAGTCTGGTGAATCACGTGTTGCTCGTGACACCATGCTATCCTTTCTCTCAGGAACTTCGAAGGACGGGCCTCCAGATTCCTCTCGTTCTGCTTTGGCTTCTAGGTTTCGTATAATGCTAGATCTCAGTGGCGGACGAGGCGTCGGATGCACAAACCTTTGCTGACGATAATTGACGAGCTTTGGTTGGTCTAGCACTGGCATCTTGGGCTTCCGGTTGAGAGACTTGTAAAATCCTGCGTTAACATCATGTAGGAGAAATTAGGAGTTAACTAATATCTATCATAGTTACCATGTGATACAATAAGGATCATGGTAACTGCAACTATACGAGTGATGTTATTACACAATGTTGTCAAAGTGTATGGTGAGTATCCAGGTATGAACATATCCTTCATGTTCTTCCTGGAAGTGTAAGGAAGCTGTTCGGACTATTGCATGATAGATTCTGGCGCTCCTGCAGTATCTGGTCACTCGAAAGATTGAGTTATGAGGATTGTCATTATTCATTAAATATGGCGTCAACGCCAGAAAATGCTCAACAGAACAACCGTGGTATATAACTCGACCATGCAAATCGCTCCCTTGTACTCTCAATACGCTCTGAAACTGCCATCGCAGCTCACAGTCCTCCCACAACAGCACCAAGAACACTCAGACCGAGCAAGGCTGAGACCATCCAACTCCTACCTCCACTGATCCTCATACCGGCACTAGCATATCCTGCCTCGTCATCGTTCCTCTTCGCACCAACCGCCTTATCTGTATTGAAGCAGCCAAAGATACCCATACCACTCGCGCTGTCCTTCTCGTATTCCTCCATTTTCTGTGCCAAGCAACTTTGGACGATGTCTGGAGAGTCGGTGATGCAGTACTGGAAGCAGCCGTCGTTGTCTTCGGAATTGACAATGACCGGTGTTGAAGATGTTGAAGGTGACGATGTGGTTGTGTCGGGGGCGGAGTATGTGGCGATGGCGTTGATGTGGCCATTACAGCATGCGTCTAGGATCGAGGAATTGGAGCCACCGACAGGTACCGCGCAGGAGGGGAGTGTGGTGGGTGGTTGGGGAACCGCGGTGAAGGGTTGGCAGGACATTGTTGCGTAGATAGCTAGATTTTGTCGAGCTTGATTGTGAAGGATTTGTGGTATGTGCCCGGAATGAAGTGGCGATGTAAATGCAGCTCGGATTGTCGTTGGTGATAAGACACGACTTGCGCGCTGTTCGATATGCTCTCGAAATGAGTAGATGAGAAAACTCGAAATCGATGGGAAAACTCCGTCGCTATGCTGAGACTTGACTGAAGGAAAGAAGCAAGTGAACTTGTGAATGAAACACTGAGTTGTTCACGGAACACACTCAAAAGAAAAGAACCGAATGGAATTGACGGAAGGAAAGAAGACTGTTTGAGGCTGAAGAATACTGTATCATCATCGCAAAGAACAGAGCCTCATATGTACATTGCCATTTTCTAAGAATATCTCAAGTGGGTAGGCGGATGGATAGGCGGGTAGTTGACAGCGCGAGATCTAGCGTTACGCGCCGACCCACCGGCTGCGCGACGCGTTGGTTGGCTCGCAACGTCTGGTCGATTTACGCGCTAGAACCACGGGCAGATCCGAAACGATGTGTTCTGTCGTGTTTGAAACGTTCTTATGCTGATTTAGGGTAGTCGTCATGCTTTGTTATGTCCAATAAGTGTGTTAATTTGCTGAGTACTCGGAGGTCACGTGTGAAGGATCGAACCATCCATTTCCCTTGCCGCTGCACAAGGCAAATATGGATAGCTAGGTGGTGGACAAGCCTCACTAGTGGCTGATGAGATCGAACAGAGTTGCGGCTGTGCGGATTGATTACGACTTGGGGTCCGTTCAGTGCCGAAACCCGTTGCCTGGGTATGCGAAGCTAAAGAGACGTGTTCATCTGACTAAACACACCACAGTAAATGGTGCTGGATCAGCCATGTATGCGTAGTCCATACTCGATGAATGCAGCAGTCAGATCTTCCAAACCCGAGACCTGAATGTAACATGCCACCAACACCTTCTGTGGCACGGGACAGTATACGCCTTCCAGCGTAGGACCAGCTGATACAAGTAGCATTATTCCTGATCATTTTCGTCCTCGTCTTCATGCGCGGCCGCCCATGGGCTTCTCTTGCGTAATGACACGCCCCTCCTTTCAAGAAAGAATGGTATGGGCGCTAAAAAAATTGCAATTGCCATCAGCACAAGGCTTGCGTTCCTGGTGCCTACGTTCAGAAACAAATGTCTTCCGACCAGTGGGAATCCAGCGCCAGCAAGGTTACGGATGAGTCCGATACCAGCAAGTGCTGATGCTGAGTACGTTTTATACGCATCTTCAGTGTAAGTAAGGGTCATGAGGACTAGATCGAGCCGTTAGCGTTATATAGTTGATACCAAACGCCTGACTGACTTACTCAGGGTATAGAATGACCATCCCCAAAACGCACTAGCGAGCACTGCAAAGAACGGATGTATGTTCGGCGTTGCGGTGAGTGCGAAGGCCAAAAGGGAAATCGGTAATACGATAGCTGCCAGCTTCGCGTGGTACACTCGCGCCTCAGGGACGTCACGATGGCCAGCCTGGGAGACTTGTCGTTGGTAGTACCGTTCTTGAAAGATGTTCGTGATCAAGCCAAACGTGATGCCTACAACTATCCCTAGGAAAGAGATACCGACGCCGATGGTATCAAAGCCGTATCCATTCGGACCGAAAATCATGTGGAATGCGCCGTTGAAAAGGAAGCTCAGGCCGTAGAGGAATCCGTTGTAAAGTGCACCAAACTGCACGATAGCCTCAGATCCCAGGAAGCGGAATGGGCGTGCGAGCGCTGTGCCGAACAACTGCTTTGGTCCTCGCTGCTTCATCTCATCTGGCACTTCCAGCTCCTCGTCCCCTGTCTGCAGGCGTAACGCGTTTGCTCTTCGTAAGAGAATGACGCTATGTCTAGTCTCTCCAAGACTGTATAATGCAAAGACCATAACAAACCAGAAGCCCAAGCAGATGAAGAACATGATCCTAAATACAGCATGCCATGATCTACCTTTTGCGATGAATGAGAAAAGAACGAATCCAGTAGGACTGCCACCTGTTGCCGCCCAAAGAAACCATGACATGGCTGGCCCGGTGTCATGATGGTGGAAGAGATCTGCGATGGTGCCTCCAAAATTCGAGATCGTCGTAGATGAAAAGTAGCCTGAGAACAGGCGCAGGACTAGGAATGGACCTAATGTTTCTACGTATGTCGTTCCCAAAAGGAGTAAGAGAAAGATGCCGTAAGAAACGATATAAACAGGTCTCCTTCCAAAGTACTCCGAAAGAGGAGCCAAGGTCATAGGCCCAAAAGCCAACCCAAGGACATACATGCTTAATCCCAGAACCGCGACACTCGGTGAGACGCCCATGTCTTTCGCGAAATCGCTCGCAGCAGGACTAAAGCCACTTGCTCCCCAGGAGACACTGAGGTCTATCGGAACAATAGCAGCGACCATCAGCCATTTTCGCGCTTTCGACCAGTTCCGCGGGTCGTCTGGGTCGTTGGGCTCGAATGTTATAACTTTGGTTGGAGGGCTCCGCAGTAGAGGCTCACTCTCTCTCTGGAAGGAACTCATCATTGCACAAAGGTTGGTGTGTTCGTACGTCCCCCCGCTGCGAAGCTTGGCTGTGTAATGTATGTTTTGACGCGTATTGTTGTTGAATCATGTCACAGCTTGCGGGAACGATTAGTCCGATGATGACGTAATTGAAGATAGTCAGAAGGCTCGGGCCGCTGCTCGACACCTGTCACATGCTCACCATGATCTTCATTTATCGATTTACTTTACTGAGACATGGCCCTGAGATACTAACAACAGTCTGATTGAAAAGTAAATGACCATACTTTTTTTGTTCGAAATCGCGACGCCGGGCTTCCTTTTCCTACCGACCTCAGGAGCAGACGGAAAACACCATATCTAGTAACTTATACCCTGACCATTGATTGCTGATCACCGAATGCTGTGTAACCACTCCTGACGCACTGCATGTACTGTACCTGGGTAGCCTGCATCGGAGTACAACATCTGCAGTCATCAAACCAACCCCGCCAAATTTACCCAATGCCGCACGCAACACCACACAGGCTATCACAGCTGAGCACGCTGGCTTCTCCCAAGATCAGATGCCATTTACCCACCTGAGCATGATGTTCATATTGGCAGTCATCTTCACTGAAACTAAAGCTTGCGATCACGACGACCACGTTTCGTTATTGTGATATTCCATGCCTCGTGTAATCTTGAAAGGCCATGTCTTTCCCTTATTCTCTGCTTGGGGATGCTCGTCCTGATACCAACTAGTATATACCTCAAATTCTCGCAATTCTTGTACACCTGCAACACTCAATGGTGTTAACAAAACATGCTCATATGCAGCATCAACACACGGTGCCCAGATCACCATGTCTATTCTCAAATACTCCAGACCTTCCATTTTCGAGATCTCGGACCACATCAGTGACCAGGACGGGGCATTGTAAGGTGGATCGCCCTCAAGGAAGTGACTCATCTTCCATGTCTCTTCGTATGCCCATCTCAGTCTTACGGAACGGATTGTCTGAAATAGACTGGGCGAAAGCAGGCGATGCAGGCAGAAATATGCTGTAAGGTTGGGAATTCGAAATGTGTTGCATGTGTAAATGTATTCTGTCGCCTCAATGTATCTATAACATCTCAATTAGATGCTGTAACGAAAGTGAGAGTCATTGAACATCACTACTTACGCCATCTTACACGACTTTAGAAATCTCAAAAGCTCTTGTGCTTGACCACATTTCGTCTGGAACGGGACGCGCCTGTCTCCGTCTTCACGAAGCTCAAGCTGAAGTTCTGCTCTGTTCATGACATAGGCATATACGAGCCTTCGCAGCTCCAGGGGCAGCCTTCCGAAGAAGAGCGATTGCTTTTGGGGTAATATGTTGGCAGTTGAGCCGATGTCGAAGGCATCATCCGTCTCTGCTCTTGGGTCGGGGAGACGTGCATGCTACGAAGCATTAGTCTCTGCTCGCAGTCTTCTGAGGTGTTCTTCATCTGCCCGCCTTTTCTTTGCTATCATTCGTTCATAAGGCACGACGATCACCGTCTCGATGATGATGTCCTTGAGGGCGCGCATGAGTACTGAGGTAGATCGCATATCCGTGTAGATGGAGGTTTCACTACACAGCACCTACACAATTTGGATACATCTTGTGTTGGGCGATCTCTCATGTGAGGGCTGATGCCTGCGCTAGCTCTGGAAGTGTGGCGTAGCATGCTGCGAATATTCAAGACGGCTAGAATACGGAACATATTCGACTTACTGTGTCCATAGTAGTAGACCACTTGACGGAAGCCTATGATTACTTGCTTGGAATTGCAGAAAATCAATCGTGTGCATGATAACAAGGCCGTACCGGAAAGTAGCACATTCCTTGGTTCCGTCATGACTCGCCTAAATGAGAGGCTATTCATGGGTACCGCCCGCAAACAACGCCCGCCAGCAATCCTCCACACCCTCATGTAAAGCCATAACCACTCATAATCGGGTATTTAATATAGTCTGCCCGTGTAAACACATCTTTGGGAAGGTATGAAAGAACATGTGGGCCGGTTCGACTTTCAACAGACCCTGTCCTCGGGCGCTTTCCCACCGAAGGACCGATTAGCGTCACTACCCCATAGCATTCTGTCCCCCTTTACCCCGGATTATGGCTGGGATCAACGAACTTGGCTTCAATTAATTTTCCCGTGTACCTGGATACGAGGTGTATAAAAATGGGGAGGCAAGTGCTCCCCAGGGTAAGCAGTGCTCGTTGGCACCTTCCATCTACAACATGCGCTCCACCGTAGCAACCGCGGCGGCGCTTTTGCTGCCTTCGACATCATGGGCTTTCCTGAACGCGAGTCAAAACAACCGGAGTCTGACTATCGCCAATGACCGGCTCGTCGCGTCGGTGAGCAAGACAAGAGGATATATCAATGTCCTCACTCTTGACGGTCAGAACCTGCTTGGGACGGAAGACGGCAACACCGGAGTTGGTCCATATCTCGACTGCTACTGCACTCCAAGTGGCTTTTGGACACCCGGTCGGGGCAGCAATGTTCAGTACCAGCTGTTCAGTGGCAATGATTCTACTGGTACCCCATATGGTGGTATCAGCATGGGCGAGACCTACGCTCCAACTGGGCAGAGGTTGGAGCAATACTGGTTTTTGAGAGAAGGGGAGACGGGCCTACACACCTTTAGTCGTGTGATTTACAACAACAAGACCACTCCGTTCTTGCGCAATCTGCAGGAGTTCCGCACACTATTCAGACCTAACCATGAACCCGCACTCTTCACGCACTTCGTCACCAATGAGAAGTTTGCTGCGCCTCGCCCGGATACCCAGGGTCAGGTTACTGTTCAGGACGCTACGTGGTATCTGCCCAACAAAGAAAGTCCGTATGTCGAGGGAGTAGGAGACTACTTCACCAAGTACACTTTCCAAGATACATGGCGCGATCACAAAGCCCACGGTATGTATGCCGACGGTACCGGTAGCGCCAATGGCTCAACTTACGGCGCATGGCTCGTACACAACACCGTCGAGACGTACTTCAACGGCCCTGTTCATTCCGATCTCGTTGTCGATGGCATTGTATATAACTACATGGTCTCCAACCACCACGGCATTCAAACACCCAACATCACCGATGGCTTCGATCGTACCTTTGGACCCCAGTACTTCCACTTCAACTCTGGCGGTTCGCTCGAAGAGCTTCGAGAGGACGCGGAGCAGTACGGTCTTCGTCCAGAGTGGAATGCCGAATTTTACGATTCCATCGCAAAATACGTACCAAACCTCGTCCCAACGTCTGGCCGTGGTACCTTCAATGCAAAGATCAACCTGCCTGCCGGAGCCAAGAACCCCATCGCCATCCTCACAGAAAGCGGCCACAACTTCCAAGACAACGTCTTCGACACCAAAGCGTATCAGTACTGGGAAGACATCTCCTCAGACGGCGAAGTAACCATTCCCCGCGTAAAAGCAGGAAACTACCGTCTCACCGTCTACGCCGACGGCATCTTTGGCGACTACTACCAAGACGACGTCTCCGTGTCCGCTGGAGAGGAAACTTCCGTATCAGCGACATGGATCCCCGAGTCCGCAGGCAAAGAACTCTTCCGTATCGGCACCCCTGATAAATCTTCTGGTGAATACCGCCACGGCTACGCTCAATCACCCACGAAACCTCTCCTAACAGAGGAATACCGTCTCTATTGGGGCGCATACGATTTCGTCGACGAGTTCCCCGAGGGCGTGACGTACAAGGTTGGTCAGGACGATGAGTCTCAGGCACTCAACTACGTCCACTGGGCTGTCTATGGTGGCAAGGCGAACTATGAGCGCCCGGTACCTGTGCCCGATCATCCGTATAACTGGACTATCTTGTTCGATGCACAGGCGAAGGAGTTGAGTAACAGGACTACTGCTACGTTCACTGTGCAGCTTGCTGGTGCGAAGACGGCAGCAGGAAATACGGATGTGTTCAACGCAAGTGAGCCGTACTCGAATCTACCTTTTACCGTCAATGTGAACGGCAAGGACCTTGAGCCGTGGATCATTCCGTAAGTTCCCCTGTACATTATGCCTCGAAATTGTTACTAATTAAGATTTCAGATACAACCAATCCTCATCTTGCGCTGTCCGCTCAGCAGTCATCTGCTACAATCTCGCACACAAGTTTCTTTTCCCGACTTCTATGCTGAAGGACGGTGAGAACAGTTTGATACTGAGCCTACCGTACAACGGGACGAACTACGAGAGTGCGTTGTTGCCCGAGTCGGTGTATGTACAGTATGATGCGATGAGATTGGAGGTGAAGTAGTTAGATCAGTAGACAGGAATAATTGTATCATGATTATGATGTGTTCTAGATGCTCAGCAATAACACAACTCCATAATATGCACCGCTAAATATACACCTTCTGTTTCTCTTCATCGACGTTGTCCTCAAACTGCCATTAAGCTACCTCCTCAACCATCCTTCCACTGAATGGCTTCTGGGTCCCCTTCTGCATGTCCCCTGCGAATATACTGCCAACGGGAGCCTGAAGCCACTCATCAGGAACAGCGAGCTGAGTTCCCTTGGCATTCTGGATGTAGCGTGTGAAGAGCGGGTTTGCGCGCTCAGGCTCGTGTTCTATCTCTTCTCCATCTTCGTCCACGTTCATCATAGATTTGCGGCCACGTTTTGGAGGCTGTTTCTTGAGGAGACGATTGATAGTGTCGAGCTGGAGATGGAGGTTAGTAGCTGTTTCTTCAGATGATGTGGAATGGTGGACGAACCTTTTCTTCTTCATTCCTCTTCTCGCTGAGATTCTTCCTTCGCCTTGCCATCTCTGCCCTTCGCATGGCGTGTTCTTCAGCTGTGAGGTGCTTCTTCTTCTGTGCTTCGTTGGAGAGTGCCAGGAGTGCGCCGTCACCTTCTTCATTGATGAGAGCGCGTTGTCGCTTCGTCATCTTGGTGACATCAGGGGTCTGGTCGCGGCTGGCATCTTCGTCGCTGTCCATGTCCTCGTCCATATCCCCACTAGGTGTGACGCCCATGTCGTCGTCTTCCTCGCCCTCGGCATCCTCGTCTTCGCCTTCTGCGTCTTCCTCGTCGAGGTCGGAGTCGGGATCGCTGAGGTCGTCGTCATCGTCATCGTCCATGGCCATTTCCTTGGCCTCGACTTTGTCTTGTGCTTTTGTGAGTTTAATCGCTGGCGCTGGTTGGACGGGGATTCCTCTATTCGCGTTTACAGTGATTCGGGGCGCTGGTGTGTCCTCCATATCGTCGTCTTCGTCCCCTTCGGCGTCCATGTCCTCATCCTCGTCGCCTTCAGCGTCTACCTCGTTCTCGTCCGAGTCGTCGTCCACATCCATGGCATCGACCTCCTCGGCGTCGTCGTCGTCGTCGTCGTCTTCGTCCTCATCGTCGCTGTCGATTTCCTGCACCACACGACTACTCCGTGAAGCACGTTTGCCCGCGACTATGTTATTCCTGCTGACGCCTGCCTTGGGCACAGCCCCGCCGGTGGCCTGTCTGATCTTGTTGGGGGATGACTTGACGGTGAGGTGTATCGACTGGCGCGTCTCTTCGGGCGAGGAGCGCTGTATGAGGGCAGCAGCAGGCGACTGGTTCGCAGTGCCGCGACGTGGGCGGGTCGAGGAGGCGGTAGGGGTGGCACTGGAGGGGGTTAGAGGAGCTGGAGCTGCGCGCGACCGTAGGCGAGGCATGATTGTAGCGGCGTATGGGGAGAACAGAGCAGGACCGGCAAAAGCGGGAGAAGGCAGATGGGAAGGATTGCGACGGCGTCAGATAGCCCGTTCGTATCTCCGTACCGCTGACGTCGCGCAGGGATGTGCAAGCGGGTGGTACAGAGGTGGTGGTGCAGAGAGGGCCTTCTTGGGTCGCAGTTGCTCTTTGGGGATGATGTACTCGACGCGCTGCCCTTGGCGATGGGTGCAAGTCATTCGCTCGCCTTGTCAGCCACATACCTGGTGCTGTTTCCTCTCGCATCCCATCCGTCGCCCTCGGATTCGTCATATTCGGTGCTTATGCGTCGCATCCGTTTGGCCGCGCGATCTGCCATGTTTATGATTGGCACAGGGATATTATGAAGTTTTGGTGTTATTCCAATTGGTAGGTGCGACGATTTTACGCGTGTTGGTCTTCGGCCATGTCCTAACCTTCAGATGGAGATTCGCCGGGATCTTCCCCAGGTGTCGGAAACAAGCTAGCGTGGGCCCGTCCCAAAACATGTGAGACGCCAGCAGTGCTCTCTCGCCTCATCACATCATCACGTTTGCAGCAGTTCATGAGAGAGACGTATTTCAGAAAAGTTTACAAATTCATTATCGTTATCCTTAAGTAGATGGAAGGACTATCTCGAGACGCTATCCAGACCGACAGTTCCCGGTTTAACCCCATACAGCCTTGATGGTCTCCTCAAAACCCTCCTTGGGCACACCCAGCTTCTCGTTCCACAGACCCGCCGACGATAAGTCACCTAGCTGATGCTCCTTGGCAAATGTAGCACCCTGGATCAAGTACGGGATGCCGCTATAGTCTCCCGACTGAAGCTTAGCACGCCCTTGCTCGATGTGCTCCTTCGCGCTGGCCTTGTTGACAGTCCACTTCGCACCAGTAACCTTCTCTGCCGCGGCCAGCACCTCGTTCTGCGTTGTCTGGAATCCACTGACGTATACGTATTGGTTCTTGGTCAGATCTGCGTGCTCGAGTGCCTTGACGGTTGTAATGCCAATCTGGTGGAGGTTGGTCGCCGAAAAGACGGCCTCACCGTCATCAAAGATGGTTGCAGTCTTGGAGGACCCGTCAAAGCCTAGGAAAGCGACCCTGAGGCCCCAGTCGAAGAAAGGACCAGTGATGATGCTGGTCCAGCTAATCTCCTTCTCCTTGCTCTTAAGGTAGTTGACTGTGCCAAACTTGGCCTCAAAGACAGGCACAATGTCGCGAGTGCGCTTGTCGGGCGTGTTGCTGCCGTACTCTGAAGGAAGGAAGCGCTTCACTCCCGCTGCAATGGCGGCATCGATCAACTTGTTCTGATCTCCCAGTGCCATACCACCAACAAGTGAGACAACCGCATCTTGGCCCTGGAATGCCTCCTTTAGGCTGTCGTGGGAATCGTAGTCTGCGCGGATGACCTTGACACCTGAGGGGAAGGTAGACTTTGACCCTTGGCGGGAAAGGACGGTTGTGTTGAAAGAGGACTCCTTGAGGAAAGCGTTCAAGATGGAGGGACCGAGGTTACCACCCGCCTAATGTTGTTAGTCCATGCGTACACGAGCAGTTTGGGAGAGATGCATACTCCAATGATGATGACGTTCTTGATGGCTGTCATGTTGACGTGTTGCTGTTAATGTGTGAATAGACTCGGTGTGTTATCTGACTATAGAGTGTAGAATAAGTTGAAGAACTGGATATCGCTGAGTTTGTGATTCATTAAGGTGATGAAGACGACGTCTTATATATGTCGCGACGAAGACGTGATTATGCAGACCTATGATGCAGGTACAAGGCCCCACATCCTCAGTTCCTCACTTTCCGCGTTGCTTTCAAACCCGCGCTTTACAACCGCTATGCTTTGCTAATGCACGCGTAGACTAATGGCGTACCTGAAGCTTGTCTGCGACAAGGCATCCCTGCATGTGATACTACCGTTGGTCGGTAGTTGGGTAGACAGTCGGAGCGACTCGAGTCCTCCGCTATGTCGCTCTTCGACGAGCAAGAATTGTTGCTTTGAAGTTGGACTACTGCTAGCTTTCTTTTGCGCTGATCATTGAGAGTCAGTTTAGTTTGGTACACAGTATGGTTGGAGCAGCTTTGGAGCACGTCACTCTCCAGAAGCTTCTCTGCAGGCGCAGCACAGCTCGAGACCCTGTCGCTTGACATCGGTACCGTAGTTACACCGGAGCTATCATGCCACTGAACCAGGTTGGATGCAAGGAAAAGGACGATGTTGTTGGGTGTGCTTAGCATATCATGCGGAAACTCACCGTCGTGCCAAGACGCTAGCCGACCTTAGACATTCAGTAATCGAAGTTGTCTCTTTTGCTACTTTGCGCCGTCTCTATCAAATCACAAACGCGAAAACCGATTTTGCATTAAACTGCTTTGATTATAAAGCTAAGCCTTTTTGACTTTGTCCGATTACTGTGTTCATACCTCAATAGCCTAGGACGACCGTAAAGTCAGTGTTCGGTATCTAGACTTGTTCGCTCGATCAGGCCCTGTCTATTCAGCTGTATGAGCGACTTCAAGGGATCTTCTACATCCAAGCACTTCTCTCGCACTCCGTACGATCCTATTCAAACACTTTTTCGTATACCCAGAGTATCTTTTCGGTGATCCGCACAATGTTTCATTGTGGCGCGTTTAGTTGTCCGTGTACCTACATCAGACTAGGTACTGCCTGACGTTAATCAACGCGACCTCAGTCCTCTTTCGGCGGACCTTCCACGATCATGTGTTTGTTATTGCATCGCTCCATAGATCCAGATCCGAAGATTACACGACGCATCTCGTTCATGGTGAAAGGATTTCGATGATTTTGTAAGGGAGTCATCGGCACGATCCTGTTGCGCAGAATTCTGAGTGACCACCGCGGTTGTTGGCTTGCACCCTGACGGCACAGCTCGTGGCAGTCATTTCCGCTTCTGAAAAGGAACCTCTCTAGCGATGAAGTAGCGACTCAATGTATAAGCGCACGAAAACACCACGGGGTGAATGGCTCAGCATGGCTCAGCATGGCGTTACTAAATTTTCGTTTCTTCTATAAGGTTTCTTACACTGCATCTGACGACAAGCAGAACAACGAAGTCATAACGACTCGTCTACCATTATAGATCAGCATGCATCATAAAAATAGTCGACATATACACACAGAGAGTACATACACTTTCTACGACGACTTCACACCTTTCTCGCTGGTATGACCATGGAAACTAGCACGATTACAAAGTCCTTAGACAGTTGCATTCTCCGAGTGTTCAAGGCAATACTTCGCTGATATCTTACGCTCCTTCTATGGAGCGTTCGAAAACACCTGTTACACGATACACTTCTGGCGGGATGCAGTATGTTATGCAGGTACTGACCCTGTATCATTGCACACGTTGATGCCGAGGCCCATCTCTGATATGAGTTAGGTCACGAGCACTAAGTTCTCGACCGAATTCTAAGCTGGAAACGATGGCTATCCTTCATTCGTCATAAGTCATGCACGTGATGGTGTGTGCCTGCTCGGATTGGCTCAGCCTGGTTACACAACGCTTATGCGCTGTACTATCGGCAACGAAATATCAGTGTGGGCAGAAGCTTTTCCAGAGACTTCCATGACATTCTACGTAGGGTCTTGGCAATCCCACATGGGGATATAAGCTAGGTCTACCAGCTGATTGTTTGCCTCCCAGTGTGGCGAGGGTGTAAGTCTTCGCGCAGGGTGGAGATGACGAAGATAACGGCGGGGAAAAATAATGGAAAGAAAAGCTTTATCAGGCGCCCGGGGGGTCCAAAAACTCCCGGTGCTGCAAATGGCAAGGCTGAGGATAGGAAAGAAGCTCAGGCGGAGGAGTTACCTGCATCTTTAGCTGGCGAGCATGACAAGCAAAACATCATTGGAGGCTATGTTGAGGAAGGTAAGTACGGTGCCTGGTAACAAGCTTTGTGATTGTTGTGGTCTACAAACTTCTGGCGCTAGGCTTCTGCTTTAGATCGGTGGTAGTAGTGGGGGCTAATGGACGGGGTAGTGGTCGGGGCAGCAAGTGCGGATGTTTGGAATCGGCTATCATGCTCAGGGTGTGGTGGGGGATGTTCAGGGGCGCAGTGGTGTCAAGGGTGCGGACGCTTAGAGTGTTGGAGATGTAAGCAATCGCTGTGTATCGTCTGCGGAATGGAAATTCTGGATACCTAGGTCCTTATTCAATAACGTATGACTGGTCAAGCGATACTAGTATAGTTGTACAAGAACTTGGGTTCTCCCAATATGCAAGTTGCAGTGCATTCATCTTCGTTTTCTCTCAGACCGTGAAGAAGTATCTGAGTACCAGTGGCGCAGCTATGCAGGTGGTATCCAAGTGATTGAGACTACAGAATATGGAGGTATCATGACTTCTTGAGACAATCGAATGCCTTCTTTCGATTACTGTCATGAGAGATGGATAGAATCGATAGGTTATAACGATTGCTAGCACTTAAAAACAGACACGATTGCATCGCGGGTTTCATTGTCCTGCCCAATTGCCTTCCAAATTCATTCGTCAGTCCCTCGCCAGAGTACTGCGTCACATCGCAGGGCACCCTGCAGATAGGCAGCAAGCGTCGGCACGCAACACGTCAAGTTGCAACAAACGGCCCCGCTTTAAGTTCTGTCCACTGCCTTAAGCTTCTGTCTTCGATACTCACTCACTTTCTCACAGCAATACAAACAGAAACATTTCCATACTTAGGTACGCGCACCTAGATTAGTGGAGTTTGGGCTTCGCGTAGAGATCAACATGAAGTAACTATATCTTGTGGCTCGGGAGTATTTCCTTTGTGACTAACACATATAGCCCGAGCGACGCAATTATCCAGCTTGTAGTCGCGCGATGCGTTGGCGATACAGAGCGTCTCAACGTTCACCGTGGTGTTCTTTGCAAAAGCTCAAAATTCTTCCAAAATGCTATGAAGCCAGAATGGACCAACATGCAAGCGGGACCGAATATCATCGATCTCCCAGACGATCCTGTGGACGTTGTCAGCGACTACATCAGATGGTTGTACTACGACACGATTCCAGATAAGCAGTATGAAGCAGTCGCAAATACCCGCGAAGAGAAAGCTGAAGAATCGGAAAAAGTCTTTGTTGTGCTTGCAGAAGCATACGTCTTTGGAGAGAAGATGGTTGATATGAAGTACAAGAACGCGGTGTTGCAGACGATATTCACAGCGCAAAAGGCTTTTGGATGGCACATGGGACCGGAGAGCCTCAAAATTGTTTACAAAGGCACCCCTCCAAAATCTCCGCTTCGACGTCTGATCGCTGAAAATTTTGCGTATATGGCACATGATGACTCGGGAAAAGGTGTTGGCTGGATGCAATACCTCGAAGATTGCCCTAGGGAAGCTTTGGTGGACGTGGCGAAAATCACGGTAAAGGTACGTCCGTCACGTCCTGACTACAGTCCTGGCGTCGGGTCGTATTTTGAGGAAGAGCAGTTCTAGGATTTCTCCTTCGGGAGGTTATCGAAAACTCTAGAGTGGAATAGATACAGGATTGCATGAACCCCAATTAGGAGTGTAATGAACTGTTGTCAGTAAGAAGCAAAACCAAAGCCCCTTTATCCAAGACTTTCTTACTCGGCCCAACCAACCCCCCTCTACTCCTCGTTAGGCAACACGCTCCATCGATCGTAAAACCTCCTCTTTACCTCATTACACAATATATCATTCGCCTGGTTGATTTCCGCCATCCTTTCAGTCGCTTTCTTCTGTTCCTGCTCAGTGCGGCGATCAGGGTGCCATCTCAGACTCAAAGCTCGATGCGCTTTCCTAATGTCAGCCGCTGTAGCATTTCGGGTAACACCGAGTACAGTGTATAAATCTGTGGTTGGTTGGACACCTTGCGGTCGTGGAGGGACAGGACGACAACGTGGTGAGGGCCGGGTGTAGGGGTATGAGGGAGGTGTTTGGTCACTGGAGGAGTTGTTGGATGATTCAAACGCCGAGTAGAACGTAAAGCGGGGTGGTGGTGGTGGTGGTTGTCGTCGGGTGTAGAAGACAGAAGGACGAGCACCAGAGCAAAACGAGGGCCGAGAGTCGGTGGTACGCGAATCAGGAGACGCGTAAGGTTCAAAGTTGTCTGGTACTGGAGGATATGAAGAGTAAGTGGAGGCCGACGCGTAAGAATCATAGGCTGAAGGTGGCTGGCGGTCTTCCGTGGTGTAATAAGACTCACGGGGTGGATGAGTACGAGGACGGTAGGAAGACTGGTGAGGTGGCACAGGCCTATTATGGCTTCGAAGGTATCCATAAAACCTATCTTGCAATCCTGTGGCGTTATTTCGGTAGTCGTAGGGAGAAGGAATATATTCTGGAGCGCGAAGACCCGGTCCACTCCAATTCTGCTCATGCTGCTCACGCGTACCCTCAAAGAAGCTAGGAATAACGTCCCTCCTCATCTCAGAAATGTGATCGAAACTGCCATGACTGTTTCTAAATCCCGAATCCGATGGACATGCGATATTCCTAAATAAGTTGTCTTCATAGGACAATGGAGTCGAAGAGTACCGAGGTCGTAATCTACTATTTTGGAATACCTCTTCTAGATACGCTGTAGTCGTCAAAGACATTTCTGCGTTGTGGATTTGTTTGATGTATTCGAGGCTACGTTCTGAGGCTTCGTTAATGGTACAGCCTTCATTGCGGCAACTGATGTAGTAGAATTCTCGAATCTGCTCTTCTTCTACGGGTGTGGCCATGGAGGTTGAGTAAGAGACCAGTCTCTGGAAAAGAAAGCTACACTATTCAATCCAAGCCACTAAGTGGGAAGTTTTAGTTGATGTGTGAAAGTCTAACAGTCGAGTTAGTCCGGCCTCTTATGTGGGCTGCGGAGCATTGTGCGGATCAATGCTGCTTCACGCGACAACACTCTTGTGAGATGTTCGAACGATCATTGTAGTCACACTTGACTCAGCCCGGTGTATGGAATAAGTGAAGAGATCTAACGCTCGATCTATCAGCTTTGCTAACAACCAGAATATCAGGTTCATTTGTCCTGCACATGTCGCATGATACCTAGCGTTCGACTGGTCGAACGGTTCTTTTTGAATGACGAAGGAATGCGAGTATTCGAAGCTTGTTGCAGAATGCCATCTTGGGACTTATAAAGACTGAGAACGACTCAGCCGGATGGTTTTAGGCTGGCTTTGGCGATGTTTCGCAGGAATTCTTACATATCCAAGACTGAGTTCAAGACAATCACAACACCTTGATAGGCCTCTTAGCTCCGACCAATTGATATGTTATTTGCTTGCCATTCGCTCGTCCACGAGATCGGGCTGCATAGCTGACTAACTGCAGCTCGACAACGTGTCACAAGGTTCCCCGCGCGATCACACCTCATACAATGTCAAACTGACGAGAACTATTGCTTACGATGACTGAGTTTTTTGACTGGAACCATTCCAATCTGAATTGGGCGCACTTCCATTCTCTCGCAAACCTTCTCTCACTCCGCAACGGTGGCCAAGCCGAACCTGCCGCATTGTTCGAGGCTGTACTTGAGCAGGGTGGAGAGATTCGCGATGGCGGAGATGAAGATGCTTTTAGTGTGGATACTGCTGTCGTAGATCAGATATCAGATTCAGGGCATAGCAAACTGAAGAGAAGGTTCCTCGACTGTTTGGCTGGACTCGCAGCTAATGAGAGGGGCGGCAAAGCAGTTGCTTGCTCGGCCATGAAAGAGGCTGAGGATAGTGTTGTCATCTGGCTAGCTCGTAATAATGGTTTCCTGGACGAGGATAAACGTGTGTTCGATATTTTCGCAGAGCTGCTGAGTTCATTGTCCTGTGATAAAGGTGAGTTTGGTCGGAAAACTGTCTTTCGTATACATGCTAAAACACGCTTATAACGATAGTTCAGAACTTCGAGAGTGTCTTATGGAAAGAGATGGTGTCTTACCACTGTCGTCGGATTAAACAGGATTACATTCCCAATTTGAGATCAAGCTTCAGAGCCTACGATGCTACCCCAGCAAGAGACCTTGCCGATGTGGCGGCGTACGATCCAGATCCCAAAACCGCGTTATCAGTCCTACGAACTCTCCTTGTCGATAGCCTTTTTGATAGTGCCAATGTCTTTGAGAAGTATGCGAATCTGGTAGTGGCGTCCTACGACCTGCGTCGGACGAGATCCGTTGAAGAGGTGCTGAACAACTCCACGTATGCAACTTCAAAATCGAAGAAATTGTGGCAGAGCATTTGTATGCTTTCCCGGCTTCTTGTTGCGTACCAAACTTTTTTGGACGTCGCCCAGACACTCCCGAGCTTCGCGCAAGTCGAGGTCGTCCTGGTGCCCCTTCTGGTCGCGCCTTCGAATCCGCCGCAACCACCACTCACGTTGAAGCAAACATTCAAATTACTCGACTTGTATCTGAACGACTCTACAAGGGAAGCTGTTCTAGCTAAAAATTGCAAAGCCATCGAGACTGGAAAGACGTTTGCAAATTTGCAGAAGCAGAAGCCCTATGTGCACGCCGAGGTACAAATGATGGTCTTCCTAGCTGCCAATGAACCAATGAACTCTGACTTATTCCCGTACTTTGGTTGTAGCAAGCTGAGCTGCTTCATGTGTAGTCGGTTCCTACAGGCATATGGTCTGTTTTCCACAAGAGGGTGCCATGGCCGTCTCTTCAAGCCATGGACTGTTCCGAGCACAGACAAATTACTCCCGGGTCATGCCGACCGAATAGCTAGAGCTCTTGCGTTGGTCCAAGAGGATGTCAAAAACAAGTTGAAGGAATCGGTAAAGAGCCACGTCCGGCTCGAGCGAACTTCGATCGTCGGAGGAAGCAGCATTGTGCGTGAGCAGCCGGAGGGTAACTCGTCAAGGAGATCGCAAATCGATAAGCTGGAAAAGAAAGCCACATACGAGAGAGTCTCAGCAAGCTTCAGAAGGTCAGCAAGCTACTAAACTCATCGTGTCGCCTGTTTTTGCTTGTACTGACGCCTCGTTTCAAACGTTACAGACAATCTGAGGACACAGTCACCTACTCCATACCAAGAGGCTTTTACAGAGACCGATTGGCCTTGGAGTGTGACATATGCGACAGGATGACGAAAAGAAGCTGCAGCATCTGCAATAAAGGCTCCTTCTGCAGCGAAGACTGCGAAAGGAAGAGGTCTGGATCGCATCTGTTCACATGCTCAAAACGCTCAATCACATCAGCTGATTATCTATGGATGTCATTGGCAGATGATCGCATGCCTGATGAGGGGGATGTTCTTGAAGACTTTGGGTTCAACAATACGTCTTCTTACCAGGACAGAACGTACCTCTTAGGTCTTTACATCGGTCTTTACCTTTCCGGCGGCTTCTCAGCGGAGGATCTTCACGAATGGCGTACTGGAGGCATCCTGGCCGAAAAGATCGAAGAGTTTTATTATGGCATTCCTGAAAAATCACGCGGAGGCTATTTCCCATGGTACTTGCAGAACCGCCATGTTTTGAGTCGTCCTGGGACGGAAGGAGAGGGGAGTCAACATCTCATAGCCACCTTCTACGACAAAGTTAAATCCTACCTGGATGTCAAGGATCGTAACAAAACGGCGAAAGAATTGAAACCAGAAGCCAAGAGAGATGCTTACAACTTGCTAGCGACAGTGTCACAACAGTTCATGCCCAATCCCAGTGAGAAGAACTGGTACTCTTTCGGATTTGTAACCTGCCGAGGACAGGACGAAGAGAATATACTCGCGGAAATCTACCGGTGTCTTCTCCTGAAAAACGGTGGAGGCTTCTTCCCTGACTTCTACGAAAGCTTAAGGGCCCACGATCAGCCTGTCGATTTTACACAGTTCTGGAAAGCGTATGAAGCTGGCACTCTCATACAGCTTATGGACACGAGTAGCCTCGAGGATTCCCGATCCCGTCTTCCATTCCTGGAAGTCTTCCTGTCCGTTCCGCGAGCCTGCGATCGTCCCTCCGTATGGGATCTGAAGTGGATGCTTGACATCAACGACCCCACGAACTTTACGCCCATTCTTCCAGTCAGCGTCGACTATGGTTTCATCAACTGCCACACATTTGAGGAGACCTGTACACTGGTGGAAATTTACAGAAGAGTGTTCCAGAATACAAGTCCACTAGATCTTCATCAAGCGTGCATTGCGGGAACTTTGTGGCAGTTCGTAAGCGGTCGTATTCGGATGGAGGAGCGGTGGAGGCCGTTGATGAAAAATGTCTATTCACGGGTCGAATCAACAGCGTCGGAGGTAAACGGGAATACTCAGTCGAGACCAGGATGCGAAACGGACAGAGAGCCCGTCGAGTTTTCACCTTTGTTATCGAGACTGTTACGTTCGCTCGGTATTTTCTGATTCAACTCTTTATGTCGTAGTGGCTATTATAGATCTAGTATCATAATGGCTATTCAGTGTGAAGGTTGTTCGGTAATAGAAGATAATCAGACCTTATAACAGGGCGGAAGGACACGTTGGCTTCGAGATACGGTCTCTGCCTATATGCTTGTCTAAGTCTGAACCCATGATGATGCATACATTTATTGTACATACTCCAATCTTCCATCACATTGGCACAGGCGTCAAATGCCCATCCTTGTCATACTTCGCCTTGAAGAATGTATAACTCAATGTGACCGTCTCAATACCCTTCATGTTGATGTCCTTTGTAAACTCCGGGTCGATGTAGAAGAAGACTGGCATGTCCACTGTTTCCCCTGCATTCAGTCTCTGCTCCTCAAAGCAAAAGCACTGAATCTTGCTAAAGTATGGGGCAACCTGTCCAGGCGTAACAGAATAGGTGGCTACACCAATGATGTCTTCCGCTGATTTGTTGGTCGCAGTATAGAAGGCGAGGGCAGTTTCACCCGGGAGTACACGGACTTCGCGTTGTTGGGGAACGAATTTCCAGGGCAGGACGTCAGATACAGAGCCGTTGAATGTTATTCGGATACGCGGATGAGATTCTACGGGCTTAAGACGTTCGGAGGGATCGACGGACGTATCACCGCCGTGAGCTGCTGACTTGATGGGCTGCCCTCCCCAGCCAGTCTCCTGGCAGATCTAAGAAGCATATTAGATTGAGGTTTATAGTCGAGTCAACGATCTGAAGTCGCACCATCTTGTAAAACGGCACTGAGCCATAACTGAGCGCTGTAAAGCCTATTATTACACTGAAGACATAGTTCCTAGACTATCGTCAGCGATTGCGCCCCCATCGGATGAGGGTGTACGCATACATGACTGTCCGATTCTTTATCTTATACTGCGCATGCATCTGGTCCATTCTTGGCACAGTGCCATGCTGCCGCGCAGGTTTTGTAGTGTTCAGCCATCTCTGTGCGGTAAAGCCTGGGTTGCGAGCGCGCGGTATTCTAGTGATCGAGCGAGAGCATGCTAAGCAAGTCCAGGAGCCCAGCGACCGTGAAGGTAATTGTCGGAATGGCGATGCGACAGACATATTGTGTTGTAAGAGTCAATGTTCCAATCGAGGAAACCTCGGTGGAGTGATGAGCAATGGACCCCGAAGTTCGCCGCGGGATTTAGCCCGATTGGGAACGCGTCTCGGAGCGCAAAAGTTACCACCTGAACGCGAACGTCATCTTCGATACTCTCAACGCAAACACTTCTCCTGCAAACACCCTTCCTTTCACTGTATATCAGAGAGTCGCGATTCTTACCTGTTAAGACACTATGGCGGAAGTCCTCTGCGGCGTCTGCAACGCAGAGCCCAAGAAGTACAAGTGCCCGACTTGCGCGCTCCCATAGTACGACACCGCCCGCAGCCTCTCAAACATGGACAACTCTAATTACGAACAGCTGCTCACTATCATGTTTCAAGACACATAAAACAACGCATGCCGACACTACAGAAGTCGCGCCGAAACCAGCAGAACCAGTTCTTCCACAACCACCACCACCCGCCCCGATACCACGATATCTCAAGCAGCGCACCGACTTCTCCGTCCTAGCAACAAACCCGAAATTCCAAACACTACTCAAGACTCACCCGATGTTACTGGCCTCCCTCCAACGTGTCTACGCCAAGACTATAAAACCAGATCCTGAGGATGAGAAGCGGCGGCGCATGCTAGAACGAAACGCTTTCCGAGGTCGGGGTACACGAGGGAGAGGCCGAGGGGGAAGAGGTGGTTGGAATAGATCGGAAGATAGGCAAGAAAAATGGACTCAGAAGAAGGGCGATAAGGATGGGATGGCCGAGTTGAAAGGGATAAGAGACGGGCAGGGGAAAGAGGGAGAACAAGATGCCATGGCTGAGTTTGTTAATTTAGTTGAAGAGATGTTTGGGAAGCATGAGAAGGACCCGATGGAAGAGGTCTGATGAAGGAGCTGTAGTACCAGGATCTCGCGACACCACATGGACGAGGCAGGCTATACCAACCGCCAGGATACACAATGGATCCCGCTAGCGAAGTGTGGCTTCGATGACAAACTAAATACTGGAAACATTCTTCTTAAAGCTCACGATCCAAACAGGACCTGGTATCGATACGTTGGATTTTAGAACCAAACCTTTCTTCGACAGAGGAGCCCTTCTACATGTCCACGAGCTAGCAGGTATACTTGATCTCCAATTCCACCTTCGGCACACCCTCGAATTCCTCAGGAACCACATACGAAATGTTGTAAAACAAGTGGTTCCTCAGCGCAGTACCGTACGTCACATTCTGCTTCACCAATCCCTCAGCCTCGACCTCAATCTCTACACACGGCAAATCCTCAAACCCCATTATCCGTCTTCCAGTACCCAGCGTCCAACTAGGCGGCACGTTCGACAGTGCAAACGTGAAGATATCGCTTCCCTCTTGTGTGCGATTGGGGTAGCTGATGGAGAGGTGGTTCGGCGAGGCGACGGCGTGGATTGACGATGCGGATGGATAGAGGGAGAAGAAGGTGTTAAGCGGATAAGGCTTATGCTCCTTATCTCCCGCCCAGTGAACGATAGCAGGAACGAATTGATCCCCTCTGTTTTCCTCCTCATCAAGCTGCTGTCCACCAATCATCAGCTCTTTGCTAATCCAACTCGTCACAATCCTCCCTTCTCCTCCGTCAAGGTCGTCATAAACCGTTCGATTCAGCCATCTTGGTTCCCCCACGAGGTCCCTGGTCGTAAATGCCTCTTCCACACCCGCAGGCAGTAGCGGCTTAACACCGTCAAGAACAAGAGCAATAGCTGCCCCCTGTGCAACATCGAATAACAAATCACTCTCCATCTTCTTCGGTTGCGTCGTCTTATCCCTCCCCCAAAGACCCCACAGAACCAACGACAAGACAGCAGAATGTTGCGTGATATCCCTCGTATAAGCTCTATCGTACGGCCCTACGACATTGCCCAAATATCCATTGTAATGCTCCGCCAAATCACCCATCATCCTAGGCAGAATATAGTGAGCAGCCGCTGTCATACTTGAGTTGCTACCCCCGTATTTTATCTGCGCTCCCAAAGCCCAGACATCAATACCGTAATACGTTGGCGCATTGTACTCGCTCAACGTCTCTGCTCCTTCTCTTTGAAAAAGCTCTAATATCTGCCTTCCCTGATCTTCGGCGAAGGAAGTAAATGTGCTATTCTGCCTCCTCATACCAATGTACTCGCAGAGTAGGGCGCGCATCATAGCCGGATTCGTATACCCAATCGTCAGGTTATCGTCTTCAGTGGGGTAAGATCCATTTCTCCGCATGCTACCCACAGCCGCGATTTCGAGGCTATCCTCGATCGAAGTTATCAGTGGAGCGGATAGCAAGTGCGGGAATTCAGAGAGAATTTGGATGAGCTGGGTGCCGACGAAGTCGCGCCAGTTAGGATCGTAGGTCGTGTATATCTTTGGCGGGTATAAACCAGAATCGGGTGTTGGATCGGGTTGGTCAGGAGATAGTTTGTATGTTCCGTACCATGGAGCGTTGAAGTCGTCTATCATTTGACAAGCCAGTCTGTTGTTGCATTGTTAGCCTCCGTTTTTGCTCTCCTTCTCTCTGCACCCATATGCAATTTACATACATGTTCCTGATGGAGGCTTCTGCATGCTTTACGTCGTCTCCTTGGTTTCTGTGAAGCAGTCCAGCTACATACCAAGCTGTGAAGCGAACAGACCATGGTCCTTTATCGGAGTATTGGATGAAGTTGTAGGATGCATCGTAGCGATTATCTTGAATATGCATGGACCAGTCGAAGAGATCTTGAGCATCTGAACAGCAGTTATTAGTGAAAAGCGTCAAATTGCAGAGTCTGATGGCTTAGTCGAACGCACTTGGAGATAATGCAGTATTGACGTGCTTTGTTGCTGCAGCACTTGCCTGCGCGGCGAAACATGCCGCTATGAAGCTGACTGCCTTCATCTTGATTTCAATATGATGCAGACGCATGCACGAGATTCATCATAATATCTGTTTAAATACTCCCTTGGCTAAATGCACGACCAGACGGATAATTGTACCCGCAAACAAGTACCTCCGCATCGTGAGCGACGATCTACCCCAGACTTCAAGTTTTCGGCGCAGTGCCCGCCGAAGTGTAACTTTGTGTGTTCTAGTGAAGCTTGGAAGGATCGAGTAGTTGCATGTGTAGTGTGAGTTCAGATTGCCGCTAACGACGTAACCGGGAATATCTACCGGTTATATTCCCTTGTGTGTCTAGACTTCCGGGGCTAGTATTGAATGCAACTCTTGGAAACGGCATTGATTGATGAGGGTAAACGCGTATCGCGGATAGGATTCTGGTATCTTCATGCTAAGGGTAGGTCACCTTGTCATGGGTCTCATCTCTTCCATCTTTCTTCGATTGTAGTCGTGTAGGAAGATTATACCGTCTCGATATATCTTCTGACTTCCCAGTCTGTCACAGCCTCATCCCAGAGCCTAATCTCATGTTGCCTAGTTCCACCAAAGTGGTCCACGAATTGGTCGCCGAAAACTTCTCTTGCAACGCTCTCTTTTCTCATAAATCGTTCAGTCGCTTCTTTCAAGCTCTTCGCCAGTCGTTCGCCCTTGTCCGCTTCTCCACCAACGTCTTCGCCCTTGCCCAAAGGCGGTATGCTGATCTCCATCTTCTTCTCAATACCTCGCCAGCCGAGGGCTAGAATTGCAGCAAGAACGAAGTGAGGGTTTGTGTCTGCGCCTGGTACACGGACTTCGAAGCGCGTGGCCTTACCGGATGAGGTAGGGGGAGAGATGAGGCGGATGGAAGCAGCGCGGTGCTCGAGACCCCAGGATACGGTGACGGGTGCCCAGAAGTTTTCTACCAACCGTTTGTAGCTGTTGACATTCGGTGCTAGAATAGGCATGATATCAGGAAGACCGTCGATCAATCCTGCTAGGAAATGTCGGCCAAGGTCTGAAAGATACCGGATGTCTGAGTATGGCGCGTTCTTGTCCTCTTCACCTCGGTAGAACAGATTCTTGCCCTCTTTGTCTACGATGGAGACATGCATATGTCCACTGTTTCCAGGGAGACCCTCGCGCGGTTTAGCCATGAAGCATGGTGTTATGCCGAATTTGGATCCGAGAGACTTGACGACAAGCTTGAACAGCGAGGCTTTGTCTGCCATTGCTTGAATTTCGCCAAATTCGAGAGCCTGTGTCATGTCAGTCGACTTCAGCCGTACCAACTAGTCTAATATGCCTACCGCTTCAAAGACGCCTGGTCCGGATTCTGTATGCCACCCTTCAATTCCACAGCCGAACTGGGCGCATGTGTTGAAGATGCCGTAGTAGTATTCTTGGTTGTGGACGGGTCGCGTGATGCTATATCCGAACATGCCTTCGGTAAGACTTGGAAGCGAGTTTACGGGGTTCTCGCGCAGGAAGACGGCGGTGCTCGACGTGTTTTTCTCTGAGCCATCGTGGCTCTGAGGTGCGCGGAATTGGTAGAACTCGTACTCAGCTACCCCATTACACATCAGCTTCATTGACGACGCGCAGCACCCGCTCTTGTATTGGCAACGGACTCACCTCCAGCCATGGCACCGTATCCATTCTCCTTCAGCTTATCAACAGCGCGTTTCAACAGGCTTCTTGGGCATGCGCTAAGGGTCTCTTTGGTGTCTGGGTCGTGGAAACTGATGAGGAAGAAGGGTATGTTGTCCTCCCAAGGTATCCTCCTGAACGAGGTCAGGTCTGGTATGGCGAGCAAGTCGCGGTACCCGTTCTCCTTGTTCGAGATGGCCAGTTCCTTGAAGTAGGTCTGGTCATGCATGTCCCATCCGAAGATGACGCTGCAGAAGCCGAAGCCGTCGTTGGCTATGCTGAGGAACTTCTTCTTGGCCATGAGCTTTCCACGCAACACGCCGTCGACATCGATGCCCGCGACTTTGACCGCAATGTCATTCTTAAGCAGCTCGGGCAGTTGTTCGGCCGTCAGCGTGGAGGCATCGAATTCGGCGGCCATGGTGGTGAGTGCGGGATGTGGAAGGAACGTATGCTGTTGAAGCTTACGACTACAGACAAAGGAGTATCTTACAGAGGAGCAAGTATGGCCGCGCAATCAGGTTTGGGGCAGATATCGAGCTTAACGGCTCGTGACGGTTGGAGTGCGATAGAGCTTAGGTGGGCCAATGAGGGGCGATCGGAATGCGGGCTGCGACAGATGCATCCAACGACATCATAGCCCTGCTTCCTGCATGCGCTCACAGGCTATATATTGCATAGTCACACGTGGGTTATCTCCCTTACGCGACATCCTCTGTATCTCCCAATGCGACCAAAATATACCCCTATGCGACAACCGTGATGATGCGCCGATATCGAAAAGACAAGGAGGCACACACGTCATCCATCATGGCGGGGTAGTCAGCCCTACACTGTCTTTCCGCATGACGGCCGTTTGGGGCATATATCGTGCACCATGGCTGTTGAAGCGAGGCTGCTATCGTGCACCTGCCCACCGCCCCTTTGCAAATTGCCCGAAGATGACAGCTGCCAACCCGATAGCCCTTATCATGGTCCATCCTATCAATGCAATAGGCCGATTTCGGGACCCTGGATTGTCTGAATGACTACCTTAGCTGTCCGAGACTACCCGTTCATCATCTTCCTCTCTTCGCACTCTGGATCCCGACACGCGCCTCATACGCCCACTCGCACTGAAAAGTCCGATTCATAGGTAAGTGTGGAGACCGTTCAGACTGTTTGCGCATTTGGCAAACCTTCCCCATTCACGGACGGAGCGGAGTGCTGTCCTCATGACGCTTTCTCTAGTAAATATTAGTCATATTTCTACAGCTTCCACAAAACTTTACCTTGCGCTCGATATCCATTGACCCCATCACAGCACCTTTATTACACCTGTACCAGCACAATAACCAGACCAAACATTCAACATGGGTCGTCTTGAAAGCAAGAACTGCATCATCACCGGAGGCGCTGGGTAAGCACCGATCCCGCACGTACCACAGCACATTTTCTATTGGTATTCCCTACAATAATCTTTCATGTACCCATGTTCCTTTGAGGGCTTCAACGCCATCTTTCATATTCATTGATCTGGGAGCCAAGAGCATCCACAAAATCATGCTGCGACGCCCAACTGCCCACTAACGACACTTAGCGGCATCGGTCTCGAGACCGCCATTCTCTTTGCTCGCGAGGGCGCCAATGTTCTCCTCTGCGATATCTCCGGCCCGGCGCTGGAGAAGGCTTCGGCCAAGCTGAAAGAGATAGTCCCAGAGGCCAAGAAGGTTGAGACCAAGATTACCGATGTTTCCAAGGAGGCCGATGTAAAGGCCATGGTCGAGCACGTGGACTCATGGGGTGGTCTGGACGTCCTGTTCAACAACGCAGGTATAATGCACGCCGATGATGACGATGCTGTCAACACACCCGAGAAGATCTGGGATTTGACACAAGCTATTAACGTCAAGGGTGTATGGTTTGGCTGCAAGCACGCAGTCAACAGCTTCAGGAAGAACGGCAAGAAGAAGACGAGTGTTATCAACACCGCAAGTGTCGTCGCCTTGGTGGGTAGCGCAACACCACAGCTTGCATACACAGCCAGCAAGGGTGCCGTATTAGCCATGACACGGGAGTTGGCAATGGTTCACGCACGTGAGGGCTTCAGATTCAATGCGCTGTGCCCAGCACCATTGAAGTACGTTCGTTCCGGAACGACATGATATCGCAGACCACTAACAGCAACAGCACACCACTCTTGCAGGACTGGCTTGGTGACGACCAAGCTAAGCGTCACCGTCGCGAAGTCCACTTCCCCACTGGCCGCTTTGGTGAGGCCGTCGAGCAGGCCCAAGGTGTTCTCTTCCTCGCCAGCGATGAGAGCAGCTTCGTCAATGGTACCGACTTTGTCATCGACGGTGGTATGACCAGGTGCTACACCACACCTGAGGGCGCGCCACTTGAGGCGCCCAAGAACAACGCACGATGAGCGCGTTCAGGGGTTTAGTTTATCGAGGGCCGAGGGAGAAAGACGACTTGTACGGATAGCATACGGTACTCATGAGGGATGAATGGTATACTACATCAGATATGTACGATGAATGACAATAGTGATACATTTACTCTTGCTGCTAAACATTTCGTGATCCACGACAGAAGATGCGGTTGATAAGGGGAACAACAATAACACAGCAGCTCTCAGCATCCGATGAAGGCGAAGATTCAGCTCATGCATCTTACCATAGAAGCGTATGGACGGCTACTCGGCGCGCAAGAATGCGCTGAGTGGTTACGGAACTCTTTCCACTATGATCAACGCTTCTTCCAAGTTGCCCAAGAGCGTAAGGAGGAAGAGATATCCAATTCGCTCGGGCATGTCTGACCGGGTCTAGTTGAGGAGAGATGGCTGATGGCATTTATATGGAAAAGTGATTCGTTCGGTGAAGTTTGCCATGGTCGTTTGAAATAGGAAACCAGGTTTCAGATGACCACGCGCCTTAGCGTTGGATCGCCATTCAGGGTCCAGAGCCAGGATGCGACTTTCTCGGACACGTGAGATCTGGCCGTCAGCCCGTCGTCAGCCAACATGGACCGCATCACCGCACGCGCTGACAACGACTTTGCTGTCGTCTTCTACGGCACGCTCTGGGTAGCTGCGCTCTCTCTCATTTGGTTTACTTGTCGCGCGGATCCCGAGGAGCCTGTCAAGTATGTTATTGACACGCCTGAGCAAACCAAGAAAGGATGGAAGGGCCAGGTGCTCGAGAAGCCTCAATTGAAGGTTTTTATACACCACATCCATTCCAGAGACGGCAACTGACTTGTAATAGGTATCAGGCTCATCCTTGATCCAATGCTACGCTCCTGCAACCGGTGAAGCTCTTGGTCGCATCAACCCCTCTACGGCCGACGGTATCGACCGCGCAATCGCCAAAGCCAAAGCCGCGCAGGTACAATGGGCTCAGACAAGTTTCCTCAGACGTCGCAAGGTGCTGCGCACTATGCTCAAGTTTATCCTCGAAAACCAAGAGGAGATTGCGAGGGTGGCATGTCTGGACTCGGGTAAGACTATGGTGGACGCGGCTCTGGGCGAGATACTGGTGACGGTAGAGAAGCTGAGGTGGACAATCAAGCATGGGGAGAAGAGCTTGAAGTCTGAGAGGAAAGACACCAACTTCCTCATGATGTACAAGTGGAATGAGGTCGTATACGAGCCGCTGGGTGTTGTCGCAGCTTGCGTGAGCTGGAAGTGAGTACCAAGCGCTGCTGGAATTGGTTGACACGTCTAACATCCTAACAGCTACCCCTTCCACAACCTCATAAGTCCCGTAATCGCCTCCATCTTCGCTGGTAACGCCATTATCGTCAAAGGCTCTGAGGCGACTGCCTGGTCCTCATCATACTTCGCCTCGATTGCTACTCGCGCCCTTGAAGCATGCGGCCACTCGCCCGACATTGTCCAATCTGTCGTCTGTTGGCCTGACGTTGCCGACCACCTCACATCACACCCGTCAATATCACACATAACCTTCATCGGATCGCGACCAGTAGCGCACCATGTCTGCGCTTCAGCGGCAAAGGCATTGACACCAGTTTGCGTGGAGCTAGGCGGCAAAGACCCAGCCATAGTCTTGGATGACATCTCCAACAGCGACTTCAAGCGCATAGCCAGCATCCTTATGCGTGGTACCTTCCAGTCTGCAGGTCAGAACTGCATTGGCATCGAGCGTGTCATCGCCCTACCCAAAGTCTACGACCGCTTCATCGAGTACCTCACACCTAAGATCCACGCGCTCCGCCCAGGATCCGTACTCAACGGCTCTCCAGACACACCCATCGATATCGGCGCATCCATATCCGATGCAAGTTACTCCAAGCTCGAAAACCTCATCCAAGACGCCGTCAGCAACGGCGCCCGCCTCCTCGCAGGTGGAAAACGCTACTCCCACCCCGACTATCCCCAAGGCCACTACTTCACCCCTACCTTCATCGCCGACGTCACGCCCTCCATGGCGATTGCCCAAACCGAACTCTTCGCCCCCGTCTTCCTCCTCATGCGCGCCGAATCTGTCGCAGACGCCATATCCATTGCCAACAGCACCACCTACGCTCTCGGCTCCTCGGTCTTCGGCTCCTCGACTCGCGACCTCGAACTCGTTGTTCAATCTCTCCAAGCCGGCATGGTTGCTGTAAACGACTTTGCTGTGTACTACATGGTTCAGATGCCGTTCGGGGGTACAAAGGGGAGTGGATACGGGAGGTTTGCCGGCAAGGAGGGACTGAGGAGTCTTTGTAATATGAAGAGTATTACGAGGGACCGGTGGGCATGGGCAGGAATCAAGACGGGAATCCCGCCGCCAATGGATATTCCGTTGCAGGGAGAGGGTGCTGGGGAGAAGGCGTGGAAGATGGCTGAGGGTATTGTTTGGTTGGGTTATGGAAATTTGAGAGGCAAAGTTAGGGGTTTGAGGGGGGTGTTAGGTTTGTAGATAGTGACAGTGTAAGATGTGCTTAGACGAAGACAGTATATAAATAATAGTATGACACCATCATTCGACATGAACAGTAAATCGTATGCATTGAGGTGCGGAAACTGTTCAGTATGGGCTCTAGTCTATACTCTGATCTTGGAGAAGTGATTCATCAGAAAAGTAGTATAAGGGTATCGATCTCCTTCTGGGAAGTTTTGACCTAGATCATCCAGCAAACACCATCGACATTACAGGCGGACACTTCAGTTTTCCCCTCGTCTCACCCAAGCCACCTGCTCCTTGAACTGCTGGCGCAACACTAGCATGTACTCGGCACATTACTTGCAATTGTTCCAACGCCTGACCACTTACGGATGTCGTCAATCACAAGGTCGACGTAGAGCAACAGATTCAGACCAAAGTTGGCGAAGATAGCTGGCAGCCTACGTGACCTTGGAACATCTTGGGGCCCTTTCTCTTGAGGCGCAATTATTACAATTTGATATCGATTTCTGGTCGCTTGCTGAGCTTCGTTGCTAGCATCGTTATGCCTGCCATGAGATCTCCCACCTTATCATCGTTAGCGTGAATAACACGCCTGCTTGGGTCAGGTGGCAAGATGCCAGCTACGGGATCCAAACAGTGCACTTCAAGTTACGCCAGAATTGGTCGTGCGTGGCGCGACTACGCTTGTGAAAGCAGCAAGAGCAGTTCAGTGTCGTTTACAGCATTATCCACGGTTTTCCGCAATATGATTCGTGACTTCTCTTGCGGCGAACGAAGCGTGGGAAAGAGCTAAAGGCCCTTTGATAGGTGCTCCGAACCCATAATCTAGGCGTTCATGTAGCGAATGAGGGATGTGAACCACAACGTGAAGTTGATTCAATCAGTATTCGTGACCAGGGTAGTGTCTGATTGTCGGCCATCTTCCGAAGCAGATTTTGACAACGGAATTGTAGAAGTGGTCATCCTTTTAGGCTTCTTAAGTTGTTTTGTTGCGCCTACTGGAAACCGCTTCTTGCCGCCGCAAATGAGGCAGGTAACGACAAGAACATCTGCCCAGGGCTTCCTGCCACCCTTGCTCGGGTTTTCGATTGTCTGACTAACAGTACGTCCAGGAATCAGAACAGTGTTACAGCCCTTGCACATGGAGCGCTTCAAATCGACAGCGAGCCGTAGCTGACCTTTTCGCGATACTTGCTGAAGGTCGGATCCAAGCTCGAGTGCGAGCGGTAAATGTCGTTGGGTCGCGGGCGCAGCGTGGGGAGGACTTTCTTTGTCTTGTGCGACATCAATGGCAAACTCATCTTGGGTGGCCGTTTGCAGAGTCAGGTATGTGGCTGCTTGGTAGAGAAAAGTAGAGCGAGCATGCAGGTGCTTGTTGGGCATGCCCTTTGATTTTGGCGCCTTGACTTTGCTCATGATGATAACCGTGCTACCGTTGGATTCTTGTGCGTGAACTTGTTGTTTCACTGGTGAATAACGAGAGGTACAAGGATATGTAGGTGCTGCTAGCAAACATGGTTCGTGATTCAGCGCCGTCCGTTTGCGGCCTAGTCTAGCGCCCAGCAAGGCGCCCCGAGCTTTTTACCTCGACATCAGCGACCAGCGACCGCTCTTGTCCACCGCCCACCACGAACCTCCACCGCCTCAGCAACCTCGTCGAATTCGCATAACTGTGAACTCGCGAAATACTTGCTGATCTCTTCTTTTCGTAGCTTTTAGTATAATACCGCGCTTCGGCACCCTCACGACTCCACTTTGTTTGGCAGCCTTCCTTGCGACACGCGCGACCGCCAACTCTACACGACACCAGCACTCTTATTCCAACACATAACTCATCATGTCTCACGAGGAAGATCTCATCGACTACTCCGACGAGGAGATCCAGACGACTGATGCGCCCGCCAACGGCAGCGCAGCTGCCAGCAAGGGCGGCCTCACCGCTGGTGAGGCTGCAGGCGACAAGAAGGGCAGCTACGTCGGCATCCACTCAACCGGTTTCCGCGACTTCTTGCTCAAGGACGAGCTCGTACGAGCAATCACGGACTGTGGCTTCGAACATCCTTCCGAGGGTTAGTCTAATAATTCCCCTCAGCCTTATCCACCTACAAGCGTCTGTCCATCTACGAAACGAGCTCTGTCTACAATGCGCCCTGGTCTGTCTATATACGAGCGAAGTGGCGAGGGACCCAGTGCCTTCCGCTACCTACGAGCGTCGACGCGCACTGCATTATGGCGTGCGCAGCGGTATATGCATCAAGAAGCCTAGTGCTGCCAATTGGCTCACTTTCGTGGTCCCGAAGGACTGGTTTCCGAGGAGGAGTGCATGGTGCAGGTGTACAAGAGGAGGCACACCTTGAGCGTATGGGGAGGACAGACAGACTGGCACGCGCGCTAGATGGAATACCTCGGCTGCTCAAGATGGACGGACGCTTCGCTTCCCACGCTTCGTTTCGACCGCTTTAAAGACCTTTCTGACATAACGTGTGCCCTACAGTCCAGCAAGTTACCATTCCCCAGGCCATTCTAGGAAACGATGTCCTCTGCCAGGCCAAGTCCGGTCTCGGAAAGACTGCCGTCTTCGTTCTCGCAACTCTCCAGCAGATGGACGAGAAGCCTGAGCCTGGCGTTGCCACTATCCTGGTCATGTGCCACACTCGTGAGTTGGCCTACCAGATCCGCAACGAGTACAACCGTTTCGCCAAGTTCCTGCCAGACGTCAAGGTCGGTGTCTTCTACGGTGGAACTCCCGTCCAGAAGGACATCGAGCTCCTGAGCAACAAGGACACTCACCCCCACATCATTGTCGGTACCCCCGGTCGTATCAACGCCCTCGTACGCGACAGGCATCTTCGCCTTGCCAACCTGAAGCACTTCGTCCTCGACGAGTGCGACAAGATGTTGGACCAGCCCGGTCA